GAAAATAGGCAAGGTATACCCTAACTCATGTTGGGGTTTCGGGTTAAAGCTTAGGGTTTAGAGGTCTTGGGACTTCGGGGAGTCGTTGGGACTTGTGGGCTTCAGGACGCTTGCGTATGTTTCTTTGAGCTTGGCGCTTAGGGGTTTTAAGGGCTTTAAGATTTACGTTCGAAATGTAGCTTCAGAAGATCTCGCATCGTCGCCTTCTGTTTGCCTACCTACCTGCCTGCAGCCTACCTACCTGCATGTGTGCATGCGCATGCATGCATGCATGGATGGATGGATGGATGGATGGATGCCGACGCATGGATGCATAGATGGATGTGTATGCGCTTGTAAATGTACCTACCTATCTACGGAATCTACGGCTGTATCCATAGCTAAGCATACCATATACTGCTATTCTTCTGAACGTTTCTACGCGTGCCTGCTGATCACAGCTATCCGTATACTGCATACCTGCTCCTACTGGATTACTTACTTCTTGTTTACATCTTTGGAGACAAACGAGGCACTGATTAGATGACCTTTCGAACACGAAGGCACTGATCTGTGAGAACAGGCCGTCAGACTGGGTGCCTTTATCAACCGAATCAACGTGTATCTGCTACTCTTGCTGGAAGGAGATTGCAAACTCCATACTACCAAGACGATGATCGTGATAGTGGTGCTGGAGGTGATGCTGGTGACGACTGTTATTATGATGATGGTGGCGATGCTAATGATGATGGTGGTGCTGACGGTGACGATGATGAAGATAGGCAGGACAAGCTGACAATTAAAGCTCATGTTCATCGCCTCCATCGTACGGTCTTCTTACTTTTCATCAGCATCAGCATCATAACTCCGGGCTTCCATGCGAGATTTACATTTCGCACAAGAGTTTTCTCTGACGTCGCACGCTTCTTCGCAGTGGTGTGTCGTGATCGTCTCTGGCTGCAGAAGAATTACGCCAACTCCCATCGACTTACCTCGGTGTCCTCGTTGTCGGCATCTTGCAGTGCGTGGCAGCCTGTCCTGTGGCCCGATGCTTTTGGAAGGGGCCCGTGGGAACAAGGACTCTGACACCGGGCTCGAGAGAGTGAGCGGAATTGGATATGACGGCACCGACGATGTCATGCACGGAATTTCGCCGGCAGCCAACATGCAGTGGAGGAAGCACGACTGGCGATGTCACTGCGTAGCATGATCAAACTAGAATCCAAAGCCTGTTTGGTTTGGCCTGTCCTCATGCCACTAATCTGCAAAGAAGAACATATGCATTGACTGATTGACAGGCAGCAACCCAGCAATACAAGTCATGGAACAGCAGCACCACGCGCCTCAAGTCTCCGCCTTGCAGGCATGTCAACCAGTGCGTCACACTGCACGGCTGCATTGAGTTGAAATTACAGATGCAGCTGCAAGACAGAATGGACGGTTTGGACGGGCCCTTTGAGGCTGTGATTATGCGTCCTACCGCAGTACTGCAGCTGGCTGGTTGGCAACGCGCCCACAAGAGCCTTCTCCCTGCCGTGGTAGCGGAAGAGCAGGATCCTGGCTTCACGAGAGTTATAACCCCAGGCATGCAAAGGTGTCGCAGTCTCGGAAGAGAAAGGCCCTGACCTGTGGCCCGAGGCCAGAAGAGGCCCGAAAAGCCAGAATGTCCTGGAACTTTCACAGCACTGACTTGAGGTTGTGTCAACCTTGCTTCCTGTGGTGCATGGCAAAATGTACAATCATGTGCATGAGCATGCTGCCGTTTCTTCCGCAGCTCCCGCAGAGCCTCAAAGCCTGCAGAGTGAAGGTCGCGGGCGAAAACCGGAGAGTCCTGGCCCTTCAGGTGCCCTCCATTGTCACATGCCTCGACGCAGAAGCTGTATGTGATCGCATTCGCACGGACGGTCTCACCCCCGAGCGTCCGAAACAGTGCCAGCACACGCTGCCACTCCGAAGCATCAAGGCAGGTCGCCATGACGAGGTTGTAGGTGAGGATATTGACGGCCACAAGCTGTGTCCGTTGATCGTGCAGAAAAGATAGAGTTTGCTGCCAGCTAGCGTTCTTCTCAAAGGCGCCAACGACCAGGCTCACTGACAGACTGTCCACCCGAGTCTGCTGCTTCGCCATGTCAGCAAGTAGGAAAGCGGCCTGGTACCAGAGACTGACCTCCTCGCAGGAACTAATGGCCGCCGTGTAACCGACGATGTCGCTTTTATGGACTTGCCGCTGCATTGCAGCCATCAGGAGACAGGACGATTCCCAACTGACACTGCTCATGGCACTTACCGTGGAGTTGAAAGTGATCACGTCAAAAGCCTGGCCAGCAGGCGAGTCGAGCAAGCGAAGGGCTTGCTGCCACTGCGCTGCCGCCCCACAAACATCGATAGATGAATTGAGAGTAATCACCTCGCACGGACAAGCAGTAACTTGGATTGCAGGCGAGATGTTCAATGCCGGCTGTCAACAGCACTTACAACCTCTTTCTGTTGCAAGGGACACTGGCCCGCAGGCACCGTCCAGCAGCTTCAGACAGTAGCGAGGCAGCCTGATGCCAAGGAGCAGCGCTGAGAGCCTAGGACAGTGCTGAGCTTACTACAAGTCTCGGCTTGATTTGTCCCAGCTTGAGGGGGATGTTACTCTTGATGCTCTGGTTGGGGTTTACCGCATGAAAACTGCCCTGCAACAGAATTGTAGGTGATCTGATCGCGTCCCACAGCACAGCTGCCCATCTGTGTCGCCAGTAGCAGCGCATGATGCCAAGCCCCACATGTCTCGCAGACACTGATCGCAGAGTTGTAGCTGATCCTGGAATTCGTGCATCCGGAAACTTCCCGGGTCAAGCGGACACTCCCCCAGAGCACTGAACTGCAAGATGCAAGCCGAGGATCTGATTCGCCTGCACACTTTCCTTCAAGAGAAAGCCGAAGAGTTGCAGGGCCTCCTCCCAGCAGCTTGCCACTTCGCAGGCTGCCATGGCCGCACTGCAGGTGACCACTGTTGCCCGAATGCGACCACGTTGGAGATCGTCAAGCCTGCAGTGCGCATGTTGCTCACGACCGGCCTACGAAGGTCACAGCCAGTAGTTGGGTACAGCCGCAATGCTGGAACTGTCGGTTCCAAAACGGAAGGTTGCAACACGATGCAACATGTATGCTCACGCATGGGGCAGCAACAGTGTCCCAGCCCAGAAACCCTCAAACCCCACAACATTCCTTGCCTTGTGTTAGAGCCCTACGCTAGAAGCAAAACTCGAAAAGTTCAGGAATTCGGGAGAAGGGAGACGAAGGCATAGTGTCGCGCCTGAGTCACCGACTCTGGCACAAGTCAACAGACTCTGCAAACAAGTCGCATTTGCATGGCATGTTGCCATCTCCCGGCAGCGGCAAGAGCTGTGATCATCGAATTGTAAGAGATGGCATCTGCTTGCAGGCGCCGAGACAGAATCAAGTCTTCAAAACACCCCAAAGCCGCCGTCCAATTGCCAGCCCTTTCACAGGCGCTGATCACTGAGTTGCAACTGATGACATTACACTGCAGGGCCTCATCCTGAAGCTCCTTGAAAAGAGCCGTTGACCGCTCCCACTGCCCAGCATGTCCACAGGTGCTTATGGCGGCGTTGTACACGACTACATCTGCTTGAGTCGTCGCAGCTTTCATTTGCTGAAGGATCTGCAAACCTTTCCGCCACTGGCCCGCCCTCTCGCACACACTCATGGCGGCGGAGTAGGAGAAGACGGTGAGCTTGGCGGAGATGTTTTCAGCCTCCTACGAGTAGCTTGTCATCTCCGAACACAGGTCTAACGCTGTTCCGAAGTAGCAAGCTCGTGCTGCAATATCCTGAATGCTGAATTATAGCATGAACTCGCGTCCTGCAGGAGATGGAGCACCTGCTGCCATTGCGCCCCGCGGCGGCAGTCGCTGATGGCAGCAGGATACCCATGAGCACGGTGCTGACAGTGCAGCATCAACTTTCCACATTCACAGACCAGGAAGCCTGCCCAAAGTTGCCCCGGACAACCAGTCCCGGAATTGTGCTGGGGCGGCTTCTTTCCGACATGCAGCGACAGCGAATTCTGGAGATGGCTGTCGGAGAGGAGAGTTTCGCGATGCACGTTGACGGAGCTTCTCAGTTCAGAAATCATGCTGCTCGGACGACTCTTCATAATGTCAGCGACGAAGAAAGCAGCCCTGGTCCTCGCCGCCCCATGGGACGATCACGGGCAGAACCTGTGCAGCAGCCAAGGCTTGTGCTGGCACGCGCAGCTCTAAGACGAGAACCGCATATGAGAGTCAAGACGAAGAAGGCAAAGACGTGTTCTGCCACATGCTTGCACACAAGTGTTGGTCCATGCTGCTTCCTGCCTCTCCATATCGCCGGTCCTCTTGACAGCGGCAGTTGGATGTTGAATCAACTAGGAATCTGACAATGTCTCCTAAGCTCGACAACTGGGCTAGACGGCACTTGCAGCAGTCGATCATTCTCTTTCACTTGAGTCCGCTTCTGGCTGGACAAGTGTAAGCCCTTGCTTGCAGTCAGAGCATCCTTGGCGCAGGCCGCTGAAGTAAAGCGTTCGAGGCGTCTTCGCTCACGGAGGAAGCCAGACTGGTCAACAGCGGGCATGCCGCGATGCAGAGATTCCTTTACAAGCACCGGAAGATGGTATCTCCGATCTTAGCCAGTGCGAAGAATCCGTGAGCATTGCGCATTCCGCCACAAGTCACGCTGGGGCCCTGGGCCTCGCCCTCCTGGTCCTCGCGACAGCGACGAACGGCAACCCAAGCCGACTGAGCCGAATCAGTGCCACTGCATCTCTGACCAGCTGCGAATCTGTCCTCGGTGACATCCTTCGGTGCGAAGAGGAGTAGGAGCCAATCAAAAGTTCCTGAGTCGCCCCAACTGATACAACAAGTGTTTTCAACCGGCTCTGCCCTGGTCTGAGACCCAGGCCATCCAGCGCCGCGGCGCGCGGCGCATCGAACACGGCGACAGGGCCCAGCACCTTCTCTGCTGTCGGCTGGGCTTCTGCGGGGCTTTCAATGTCAAACTCGGATAGGTCTCCGTCCGATTGTTTTAGGGTGTCACTAGCTTGCTTTGGGGCTTCCAACAGCGTTCCAGCCAACAGAGCCGGGCCCCCAGCTTGGCGCTCGCACCAAGCGCAGAAAGCATCTACCTGAGGCCGATGGGCTGCAACCACCCCGAAGATCCCCACTTCCAGGAGACTCCAGCACATGCATCACATGCCTGCACCTGCTCGGCATGATTTTGCGCCAAGGGGCTCGTTCCCTCCAGCTTGAGGGTGAAATCCTGTCTGACGCTGTCTTCCGCTGCCCCCAAAGAAACCACTCAGTGAGCTGCAGCCGGTATCCCTTTGAAGCCTCGCTGAAGACGAAGAAGAGCCGCCTTCCTTGCAGCAGACCCAGACACTTGGGACTTGGTCTGGAGTCGACTCAAACCGGCCGTGCCTGGTACATGACATATTTGTCGGAGGGTGCCTCTCAGGGAGGACAAAACAATTGACCACGGCGTAACCCTGCTGTCTCTCAGTATCCTGGGATTCCGACAAACTGGCACGCATCCTCGTCTGCTCGGACATATACGACAGCTTCCACAGGCCTTGCTTTCCATCTATCACTGCGTCCAAGCGTACATCACCAGTCTTGCCTTGCTTCTAAGCTGTTGCTGGACACTGACCCTCCAGCAGCAAGACCGATGAAGCACGGACTGCATAAGCATCAAACGACAGGTCTGCAGACCCGGTGTTCGAGTCCAATTCGATCTCCTGCTGCTGCAGGCTCGCAGGGTTTCGTGCCAATCCAAGCCGGTTGAAGATAAAAGGAATCTCCAAGTGCCTCTTTGCGAAGTTTCCCGTGTAAACTGCTTCGGAAGGAGCACATGGCTTGCTTGCCACACTCTGCTCACCACCATGCCCCACCGCCCTGTAGCCAGACAGCTGCCCCCGAATTCTGCAGATGCAGATGCTCTCTTCCTGCATGTGAAGCGAGCAATCAGCAAGGTACCGCGTCCTGCTTGAGCAGCTGTCCCTCCTGAACTTCCTTGATTCGTAGCGCCTGGCATCGCACCAGAAAAGCTGAAAAGCCTAGTTGCCGGGCTTCGAATCTTCTCTGCACGGTCCTTGCGGGCACCCAGTCCCGCCCAGCGCCAAAGCTCCTTTCAAAGAAGAAAGCTTCACAACAAAGGAACGAAGCGTTGGCGTATGTGCCTCTTCTCCTCTCGATTGATTTCGGTCCGTCTCATTCGCCCACCTCCAAATGGTTGACAAACCAGGCACTAGCGATATGACTCCGTGCAAGGCGCTTGCTGTGCGAACCTTCTGGGAGAAAAGCGCCGTTTCAAGATCTGACTGTTCGGGAATTTGCCTCGCAAAAGTGAAGGCACGATTGTGGCGCCGCAGGCAGTCCAGAGGCCACAAGTCCTGCAACAGTATGGGACATCTAGGGCATCCATCCGAGTCACAGAAGCAGCCGACCTGCAAGTGGCCAGCAGCTTCCGGTGAGCGGAAGAACCCGACCTGAGCGGGAGCTGGGTGGGTTGTTATTCTCATGTCAATGTAGGCTAGTACACTCCAAGGCCATGGCGAAAGTTCCTGCACGACCACTCTCCCGGACCACCTTCGCAGTGCCAGGGTTCTCGCAGTCTTCGACCCAACATGACGCTTTCTCCCCAGTGTCCCGGCAGCATGTGGAGCCTCCTCGAGGTCTAGAGGTGATCGTAGCTGCGGTGGCCACGGCCTGGAGGACGCTTTTGCCGAGCGCGCGAGACTCTAAGACTCTGGTTTGCCTCGGGCCCCAGCCCTGCATTCGCGAAGCTCAGCAGTGACGAGTAGTGCATCTGACCAGCGTAGATCACCTACCAGGCCAGAGTGCAAACCAAGCGAGTGTGTGCACAGCTTGCAGATTGCTGCGGGGAAAAGAGACACGGGTCGAGACTTCGCGACCCCCTGTGCAGACTTGCTGGGCTCACCTGCAGACCAGGCAGCAGAACCTCCGTGTCCGGAAAGAGGACCACCTCAGAGAGCTCAGAGGTCGCCACGATTATATTACATATTATATTCGATATTATACTAAATATTATATTAGATACTATATTGGATACTATATTATATTACACTATATTATGTTATGTTAAGATATACAAGATCTTAGATATTGTAATATATATATATATATATATTATTGTATATATTGACATTGCTCAGACATTGCCTAAACCCAGCTGCATCCTCTGGGCCCTGGACGAGCGGTGTTCGCCAAGCGCTGTAGAGGTTTGCAAGCCCAGTCTCCTTTGAGACATCGCACCTTGTGGGGATCTGAAAGTTAGGGTTTGGGGTTTTAGGGCTTTTAGGGCTTTTGGAGTTTTTAGGGTTTTAGGGCTTTAGGAGCTGAACTTCCCTAAAATTCCCCTGGTCTGCCATGTCTACCGGCGAGTGTCCACATGGGGAAGTTCTGAGGGAAGCACTGCGCCACCAAAACCTGAGGCTGCAAAGCCTGCACAAACCCAAGAAGCCGCGGCAATGACACTTCCAGTTTTACACTAAGCATGACTGCAGGCGCTGCTTCCTCATTTCGCAACCCTGTGTGACCGTGGACAACTTGCTTCGGGTCGGCTTTGCACTCCTCGTGCAACTTCTCAAGCTCAGCCATCAACAGCCGGCAGGCCAAGCACCTGAACAACAAGCGTGGGCACTTCGCCCTAGACGCGAGGCTGTTACTTTGCACAAGTGCCAAGAGTTCCTGACACTACGACGCTTGCACACGCCACCGTATCTTCCCACAGCCATCTACTCAGGGCAGCTCGACGGTGGCGAAGTCGGGCACCGCACGTTGCTGACCCTACTTACCCTGGGGGCGGTGCCAGGGCGTGACGAAGGCAACCAATGCACGCTGCCCTCGTTGGATCGTCTTTGCAAAGGTCTCCTGCATAAGGCAGTGTCCACATGCAAAATGTGCTGTATTGGCTAGGGGCCTAGCCGCTAGGGGAACTTTCCACGCGTGGGGATGTCGCGAAAGGAGGGGACAGCTGATGCTTCGTGAATTCGTCATGAGGCGGCTTCAGTTTGGAGTAGATGGACACAAACAGGCAAGGTCCAACAGCTGTAGATCTGCTGCTTTTAGCAAGTATCAACTAGCAGTCGTTCAAGCCGGGCACCCACGGGAAATCTTGCAAAGGAGAAGGCGCACTTCAAAACGGGTGCGTCTTCGATTCTTCCGGCAAACATGGGGATTCGTTCTGAGCAGCCAGGTTCAAGCTTTGCAAATCCTGGCATGTAGAACAGCAGCGTTATGCAGACAGCAGACAATCCGGGCTGCACGCCCTTTTCACTTTACTTTTTGCAGCCGCATCGGCTATATCGTCAACCTCGTATGCCTGTCCTCGCTCAGACTGACCACCTTGTGCTCCTCAGCAAATGCCTGTCTTGATCCAGACGGTACGGATCTTGGGCGATCTTCCAAGGCTGTCTATTGAACCCGGAGTAGACTCTCCAACCTAAACAAAATTTGATGCTGCCTTGGAAACCCACGACTGTTGCAGACGCTGGTTCTGGTCTGGAGGACGTTCGGGACCCTGCCTGAATGGAAGACCATGCCACAATGGCAAAAGCCACAAGTCCTGATCGCGAGATCGCGCGAGCCGTTGCAAAAGTAGGGCCCTCAGAAGACGCAGCCTCGCCTCGAGGGCCTCGTGGCCTCACCATCGCTTCAACTTGGCAGAGCGGAGCGGGGACCGGGGGAGCGGCTTCTGGGAGGGAAACGCAGGGCGGGATCTGCTCACATCTCTGAAAGCTAAGAAGCAAAGGCGAAAAGAGATGCAACTAAAGAGCATCAAAAGACCGCGAGATGCCAACTTACAGATGAGAGATGAAAGGAACCACCTCCTCACCTGACCTTGTCTGGCAACTTCTCAAAGTCCAGAGACGGTTCCGTAAAGGAGGCGCCAAGACTCCGAACTTGAGTGCTCTTGTGGCACGTAAATATAAGCATAAAGGATAGCATAGGCCTCTGTAAGGCCTGGGTGAACCCAGGTGTCTGGCCTTGTGGGTGCGCTCTGCAGCGCCCGATATGGTACTCGCAAACGCCAGTGTCAGTCCTGTCCTGTCACGGAGTCACCAGCAGCCCGCTTGGCAGGACAACAGATCGCCCAAAAGTCTACCCGTGTCTCACTCTGAAGAGGAGTCGCCTGAGAGTCGCACAGACAACACGTACCACCACACTCAGGACCGCAAGAAGGACGCATCCCAATCGCAGCCCCGTCGCTTTCCTCAGCCGCGATGGGCGGCGCCTGCACGAAGGCAGAAAACCATGTCGCTCTGGCAAAGGACAGATCCTTTCAGACTTTTGAGGAATGGCCCGGGCCTGCAGCCGCCGCCTCGAGCTTTCCTTTGGATCCCCGTGGATGAACCGCTTCACCTCAGCGAAAGATGCCTTTCAAGTGATCATGTGAAGGGTCAACCACAGCGGTCCGGTCTCTCACGCTTTGCAGCGAGGGCACGGTCGGCGAGCGAACGTAGAGGCATGTGATGCCCACACAAAACGCAAGCCTGACAGCTGCTCTGCTGAACTTGCGCTTCGACGCGTCGCTTTGTGCTATCCAAGCTTCAATACACCCAGTATCGCAAAACCCCACACCTGCCGGAGTGCAGGGAAGCTCGCGCTTGATCTGCCTTCTTGCTACAGCTTTCGGAGCGCAATACATGAATTGTCATATGCAGCCATCAATGCAGCAAATGGTCGCTGACAGCCCACTCTCCCCTCCTGCCAGGAAGGTGGCTTCTTCAGTTCCGGCAGCGCGCAGGACTGCGGCCGGAAGCTGGGAGTGGCAATCTTGCAGCCGAGCCTTAGCGGAAGGCAGGATAGACGACAGATGACGACAGATCATGAGGACGGAGCGATTTCGAGGGCCGGCCCCAATGAGGATGACTTGCTTTTCTTTGTTGTTCGGACCGTGGCAAGACACTGTCTCTCTCATTCCATTGGGGTGTGTGATTGTGCTGGCATGTTCTTGAGAAACGGGTCATGCAGCATGCAACCGCTGCACGGAAGAGAAAACTCAAGCAGGCAAAGCAAAAACGCAAACTCCACACAGGAAGCCGGCATCTTACTACCCAGAACAAGGAACGATGCAAAACCGGGGAGAATCAAAAGCAGCGACCACAAACAGTCCCGACTGTCTATCAGCTTGTGGGCAATGAGACCGTCTTAAGCTGAACGGATATGCAGCAACATTACGTGGCACAGCAGCAGTTGAAGACAAAAGCGTTGCTCACTTGCGCCGGCGAGCGAGTAGCACGAGGTCAGCAGACCAAAGTGCTCCTCTCAAGCTGGCCAGAATAGGGCTCGCCACTAAACAACACAAGTACGAGTAAGAGTTGACATAGCGTGGGTTTAGCCGATCAGAAGCCGTCGGCACCTGCTTCCCAAAGTTCAGCGAATCGCGCAGCGTGAAGTAAAAGATCTTGGTCGACGTAACTCCGATGCCAGAAGCTCTGATTATGTATAACCAGTGCACGGTGCACTCAATCTTGCAGGCTCACTCATTACCAATGCACTGACGTCCCCTGGAAAAGCACCAGGCAGAAAAAAAAAAGGCATAATGTTGTCCTGGAGGTCTGAGACTTACACCGCAGCAGACTCGAATGCAAGCCTGTATACGCCTGGAAGCAGCTAACTCCAGAGCCAGGCACGTGGTCTGGCGCAGGGACACCGCCGGGCAGTGTTAGGTCCCACTCGAGGAAGCCGTTCTGAGCAAGTCGCCCGGCTGAAACACTTGCAGTGCGGGGTTTGCGGCGTACGCGGCTTTTCTGCCAATGCTGCATGCAAGACTCATAGAACGTCTGGAAGGTGTTCAGGGACGAAAACCTCGGCGGTGGCATGATTTCATCGCTCATGGTGTCGAAGCCATACGGCCATGAATGGTAACAAGCAAAAGGGTATGTCCACATTGATTACGGAGCCTCCAGGTGCCAAGTCTGTGCCAAGTGGCTGCGGGCAGTCAGCCATTTTCTTAGTCGCACAGAACCAACAAAGCTCGCAACTACAAACCTAGAGCCTGAAATGGCTTGAAAGACAAACCTGCCACGGTGCTTTGCCGAACTTGGGAAGACTACTTTCGTTCGGCCAAGCCGCTGTGCCTAGGTTGCTCGACTTGGGTGAAGACCAGCCGATTTCACCAATCCAAAACCTCAGGCAGGTCAGCAGACGTTGCGACTGCTAATTACTCTTCGTCGCAACAATGAAAGAGATTAAATAGGCGGATCAGGATGGCATTGCTCAATCAACCGACGAAAGGGTGTCGCTCACTACACCCTATCAGCTGTCGATACGTACTGCTACCACAACAGCATCGAGCTCCGAGCAAGTCGTCCCAGCGATTGGTGAGGTAGTGCATCTGCTTGCGGGCTGAAGCCTCAAGGCGAGAAGCCTTTGTTTGCCGGATGTTGCCTGCTGTTTGTTCTCAGACGAGTCGCCATGATGTTCGGACCCAGGCAAGTCGGCTTGTCCCAGCAGATGACCCGAGGCAGGTCCAGATTACATTTGTCCACCGTGCCAGGATTCAGGTGGATGTTCGGATCGAAATAGGGGTAAACCTGACCAAAAGTGCCACAGTCACATCACTCGCAGCAGCTGAGATCCCTTCCCGAGATTTTAATACACATCCAAGTGCATTGAAGGTGAAGGCGTAGCGCTTGCCGTACCTGACAGCTACATGCAGCGCTTTTTCACGGCCGGCACACAGACTTTCATTGGAAGGCAAGCTGCTTCCGGACAGCATTTCTGAGAAAGGTGTTCACCAATGCTTCCGAAGGCTTCTCTGTGAACGGTACGACAGCACTGCCTCACGGTCGTCTAGGCGCTGGCTTGTCAGTAACCTGTGTGCCATGGATCTGAAATTCTCCGAATTTGTGAGCAGGAGCCCGTCAGCACGCTGGCAGTGAAGACCGATGTCACCTGTTCTCAGGCTACCATGAACCACACCGCCACTGCTCAACGCCATCGTCACTGAGGCCAGAACTGGCACGCTCGAGAAACCTTGGTTGCACAGATTCCAGAAGCATGCACCATAGTGGATGCTGACAAGCAAGGTCTCACACACAATGAACTGAACCAAGAATCCCATGTTGTCCTAGGCTGAGCACAACTTCTTCGCGCGTACAAGCCAAGGAAGAAGATTGCTCTTCAAGTTTCACTGTGGCTGCTATCTGGGGTTCAGGCCGAGCAAAATCAATGCTGGCTAGGAGCGAACTCTGTTACACGCGACTGGAACGTTTTCCACAGCCGGCCACCGGACCATAGCTGTTGGATGCATTCTGAATCAGCCTGGGGCGTCTCATGCAGGAAGGTCGAGACAAGGCTGATCCATGTTCCTCACCCTGCCAACGCTTGAACGCATGTCTGGCTCCTTTGCATCAGAGCAGCGTTTTGATACAGAAGCTCGAGCTCATTCCCGACGGCAAGTCCCATCACCTCGGGAACCACGCCAGGCTGTTACAATGGCCTATGATCTCCATGCACGCAGAGTCGAAAAAAAAAAAAGCTGTCGCAGCTCTTTCAACAACGAACATGTCATTCGCTCATAACAGATCAAGTCCACGCCTTCGGGGTTGTCAACTAATTGGGAGTCGAAGGTCACATGCCGAGTGGCATGCTCTGTGCCAAGCATGCTCACCAACTCCTTGGTCCAACCTTAGACCAGAGCTCGTGGATGCATTCCGCGTGTGCTTACTGGTCAAGGGTGTTCGGAGCTTCATCGGCATTCTGCTGGCAGAACTTTCCAAAGTTGCCAACCGCCAGAACAGCTGCGGACTTGTGAAGTTGCAGCAGCAACGCTGCAATCCCTTTACTGCCTTTGCTCTCTGCAAGCAACTCCAAGCGGTGTCGTCGTCCGCTTCGATGCAGGTCACCGGCGTGCCAACCAGGATTTTGATACCTAGGCAGCACAGCCCGAGCACGTCAAGATCGGCAGATCGGTCTGGCAATTGCACTAGGACACAACGACCACGAGGCGCAAAGCCCAACAGCCGAGAGCCCGGCCGTTGGCTTTCCTTAAGCCCAAGTGCATGAGTGAAGTCGCAGCCCCAGGCACATGGATGACAACGGCTCAGTGGCATCAGGATCAGGAAGCACTGTAGCTGTGTTCCCCGGGTGATCGTGAATGAAGGCGAGACAGTCGAAATGCCGTGACTTTTTGCAACGGAGTGAAGTGCTCCCAAGCGGCGCATAATCGACAAGATCTGTCCAAGCAGCGCGTCGGCCTAAAACTCTCGTATCACTCGCACTGCCAAGCACGGCTGCCCGGGGCAGCTCTAGGAATTGCAGGCATACATCTCAGCGATCCCGGCAGATGCCTTCGCTGTGCCACTGCGTCGACCACGTTTGGAATATCCTCAATGACCCCACCGGAGTGTCCTGCCCAAGAACGGTTCGACCAGAGCAACCCCGCACTGAAAGCGAACCAAACGCCTGGAGATTGGGCCAGATCTGAGGAATGCGACCGGCACACCTGGGATACTAAGACTCTCCTTGGGTACTTCTGCCATCTTCATCTGAACACAGACAAGCCGCCACTGAAGCGTGGTGTCATCGATCCTGGATGTTAGATCAGCCCAATGCAAAGGGGCCCACGTCAAAAAGTGTTGCTTTGCAAGCGAGTGGCGTCACACCTTTTTTGCCCATATGCAGGGGCGAAAGCCTCCGGGAGCCAGCTTGAGCATCGCAGCACTTCAGATAGATGCCATCCCCTGCAGTTGGACCTCGGGAACTGCACGACTCTCCAGACAACACCACTCAGGCTCAACCTCCATTTTGTCACCCCATCACCGTGGAAATCTGTGTGGAAAGCTAACAGCTAACAGTCGCAAGACTCTAAGAGCATACTTTCTGGTCTCAGGCCGTTAGCCACAAGTGGGTCAAGGAGAACCACTGGCAACTGCCTACTTAGTGCACGTTGAGAGGCAACAGTCTCCGGACGTCAGGCCAGCCTTCATGCGTGTGCCATGGTTGCGGGCGTCACACGACTGACACCCTTGGCCCTCCATATCTCCATATTTAAACCCTCAACCCTAAACTAAACTTCCTGTAAACCCTAAACGCTGCACCCTAAACCCTAAACTCCAAACCTCTCATTCCCAAAATGCGAAAAAATCCTAAAACCTAAACCCTAAACCTTGCGGTGCCTCCGCACAGAGACCATGTGCAGAGCAGCTCGCTGCAGGCCGCGGAGGCAGCTTCGAAGCGACTCCTTGACCAAGCTCCACGTCCTCGTAAAAAGGCAGCGACGCTTCATGAGATTAGAATGAAGTTTAGGGTTTAGGGAGTTTAGGGGCTTTTGGATCAAAAGAAGACCGATGTTAGAATAAGGCTTGAGGTGTCCTATACTGCCTCTACTGTATACTACAACTACAAAGGAAGCCAAAGACTGAAATTAGAACAGGGTTTGTGACTACAGCAATAAAGAGGAGCCCCAAGGAATAGTGAGCTCATATTCCTGCCAAGCTTTGAGGTATAGGCCACATTGGAGCGTGTGACATACGGTGAACCCAAGCAAGAAACTTCTCACTTTAAGTCTTAACACCTCTACAATCCTTCACAAAGTCCCCGGAGTGTCTAGGTGAAAAGCAAAACTCTAACGAGGAACCCTAAGGAAGAGAGCCCTTTTGTGCAAATACAAGCTTGGGGAAGTGTGGCTTCCGTTCTTCCCTAGAATTCACTGACCGACCTGGTGCAGAAGGGTCTGCGGTCTGCGCATGGGAGGCCACCAGCCCAGTGTCTAGTGTTTCTGTGGCGAGTCGTCCCCACTTATCATGCCAAGCATGAGCTGCGACATCTTTCTCTTTCTCCAAACCCCCTTGCACTTCCTGCGAAGCCGAACTCCGCCGTCACCCGGACATCGCCTCTCAACCCCGATATGGGTCAGGCCCCCGGGGCAATGAAGACACCCAAATCCGAAACCTCAAAGCCCAAAAGTCCATCCCCTTGACTCTGAAACCCCAAACCCTAAAACCTAAATTCACAATAACAGAAATCGTAGACCTTAAACTGCAGGCCCTACACCCTTAAAGCCTAAACAGCTAGCGCTCATGTTCCCGAACCAAAGCTAACCAGCCGGCAAGGCTCCGTTTGGCAAGCTTGGAAATGACCAGGCTTGGGACAGGTCTCGCTGCTAGCCATGGCCCAAAGCCTGGGACATTGAATCTATGACATGATCTGCTCAGACAGCTAGCATGGAACAGTTAGCAGCAACATCAGATATGCAACATATGTCCATTGGCTCGAAATCTTGGCATGTACAACCACAGAAAGTCTTGGCAAGCCAAACCCTATAAAGGCGGACCCGCTAGGGCTAAACCCTAGCCCCGTTGGCCCTATGCATCGAAGGCGCAATAGCACGGCCTTCGCAACAGCGCTGGACATGGCTCCACGGCGAGAGTTTAGGGCTCTTGAACTGCTGACGGGGTTTCAGGCTTTAGGGCCGTTACGCATGTACTTGCAGTGCGTTTTAGCGAGTCGGGTTTGGCAATGCAGCCGGCGCCGGAACAGTTGCGCTTTGCAGCTGTGTTGGAACCATGCTTGTAACGAGCTTCTAGGGCAGCAGCATCGTTGTGTTTAGCCTCTCTTTCGGCTTCAAGCTCATGCCTGTCTGCAACTTTGCCACACTTCAACGCCTGATGGCGCTATGAGCCAGGTCGGCCGCACAACATTATTGTCGTAACACTGAAGCTGCACCTCACTCGAAGCAACTGCCAGAGTGAGATATCGCAACATCCAACTGTGTTTGCAGCCACACAGCATTGTGGAGATCTTGCTTCCGACTACAGACAGCCTTAGAGCGAGACATCACTGAGAGAATGCTGGGGGTCAAACCGCGGCATCTGGAGCAGCGGGCAGAGTTGACAAATACTACTGCCTTGTATGGAAGATGGTACCTCTTTTTGCCGGCTTGTAAGGCTTGTACTGGTGCCAAGATGGCTACCGAATCAATCACCTTTCGGCCTGTGGCTTTGCATGTTAAATGCACGCTGCGAGCCGATGCATGTGCAGAGGAGCTTCATCTGCTAGGACACGAAAGCTTCCCCTACTTTGTTGAGGCGTTCAGCGACTCCGGAAGAGAGGCGGCAAGCCATGACAGCAACACAAAACTGCGCATGTCTTCATTGTCAAAGCAACTCCATCGTACCAAAATGCAAAGTAGCACAAATCATGACAGCACCCGTCAAGAAAGAGCCTGCTGTGCTAAAGCCTTCTCTTCTGCCCGGTGCTGTCGCTCCTCAGCCGTAGCCAAACACTTCTCAAGGCTGTGACTATCCTCAGAACCCTAGCCGCGTCGGTTTCGGAGGAGCCAGCAAAAGCCTGGGTCTCGAGCTTCACCCCAGAAACGGATTCTGCAGTGCCGGGGGCCAGGCACGCCATGTCCCATCTCGCAAATTTCGGATGGGCATAGCCTCTGCCTGGCTAGGTTCCATGTTCGGAACCTCGTAAGTGGCCATCTTCCAAAGGTCCAACATTGCCAGCAACGCTGTGCAGATGTCGAAATGCTGCCAGCTTCTCTGCTTTAGCACGTAGGTTCGCTTGCCTGTCAGGAAGTCTACCCGGCACCGGTTTACATCAGTAGCTGAATCGCTCGAACCATTTCCACGGAGCCATGATCGGAAGTGCGGAAACAACATTGTACCAGAGCCAGGTCGCAGACCCGTGTTTGCGAGAGCCGCATCGCCCTCCGCCTGGCCAACCCGTGTCCTGCCGTTGCGACGAAAGCAAAGTCCACAATTGCAACAAAAAAGGCAAGAAGCCGCTACTCTACACGAGCACATGCGTGACCTGCTATCTTTGTGGTGCCAGATTGAAGTGTCGGGGGAGGGTTTCCGAAGGTCTGGGTGCCCGACGAAGCCACAGCCTCCACGGCCTGGGCCAGCTGCGACTCTCGCACCTGGAGCTCCTGAAAGCAAGCACTCGCGGTGCGGACTGTATACAGCCAGCATCGAAAGAGCGACTCTCCTTGGGGAGCAGGTTGGCGAGTTCCGACAGCGACATTGGCCCGGAAGCCAGGACCTCCAGAGCACAGCCCTGAAGGCTGCCGCAGTGGATGCTGCTTGCAGAGGGCCAGGCCTGAATCAGGAACCTCTGCAAGATCACCGGGCATCGATAAGAGTACCTGGCATGAGCCGAAAAAGAGAGAACGCGAAGAGATCTGTGGGGAGAGAGGCGAAGGAAAGAGAGGACAAAGCGCCACCCGCACCGCCGCTTTGCGGTCCTACTGTGTCCTACCTTCCATCCACCGGCCTCGGCTCCCATGCTCGTCGGCACATCGCCACCTGCGCGACGCTTTTTGCAGAGACGCTTTTTGCGGCGCGATGCGGCTTCTTGTCAGCTCTCTCGCCTCAATGGGAAACATCTCGTTCAGCACTTGGCATAGGAGCAGCCAGAACAAGCGAAAGCGCGTCCTGTCCCCGAGCTGCACCGCGCTTAAATCAATTCGGCGACTCACAGCTTCTGATGCAGAGGCAACTGGCCTAGTCTGCTCGCTGACGCTCTGAACCCATAGCCTCTTCGATTGCCCAGAATCCAACTTGTGGGTTCGAACAAAAACTCGAATTCGCAAGCTTTTGGGGCTTCCAACTTCTCACGTGTCGCAGCCTCTGCCATGCGATCCGCACAGATGAGGCCTGCAAGCCGAATGTCCGAAAAAAATGGCAAAAATCTCCCGTGCTTGCATCAGAATGCAGCTGGCCACGGATCTGTGTGGGCAGCGCGGCCTCTGCCACATTGGCATCATCGAAGACTGCCGTCCTGACAAACACCGGCCGGAGCACTGGACAGGTCGAGGGTGTCAGTGTTGTGCCAGTCCAAAGGAAGGCCAGGGGCTCGCAGGCTGCATCCTGCAAATCTGTGTTGGCTCTCAGGCTTGCACGCGCTGGAGAGGAACTTGCTTGAGCACAGTTCTGTCCAAGAAGCCTCGCTTCCATGCATGCGCAGGAGAATCATGAAGGCCTGGCATCAACAGACATCAAATGAACACACGGGGTGTCCGTGAAAGACATGTGTCCCATCATTTGCACTGATGTGTCCTGAAGCGTCATGATGTCGGTCTGTCGGGTCTTGGTCCGATAATCAACCTCGGTCGGTGAATCCAAAGCCTTTTGCAGGTTCTCAGCTGACGGTACACAACTCCAAAAACAATTGCAAAAACATTGGCGCCATAAGATGGAAACATGCTGCGCACGCATGGACTCGCCATTCCGGACCCACAAGCCTGCACGGATCTCTGCCTGCGCAACAAGACGCAACAGAAACATCCAGCGGCAAAAGCTTCTTTTCCGCACGATTCCCTGCTATTCTGAAACTACGCGTCAAACCACGACAGACGGCAAAGAGATCTGCCTTTCAAAGGCCAGAAGAAGTCTTTTCTCCAGCAAATGTTGCGTATTGTAGTGATGTAGTGGCCCCCTCCCAGGCCTCGAAGCGCAGTGTCCTCACGGTGTGGGTCATGCCCGCCACCTCAAATCTTCCAAACTCTCTGATTTGTCGAGTCTGCTGCGACGGGACTACATGGCGATCGGATGTGAGCAGCTCATAGCAGCTTGCAAGATCTTGCAAGAGGAAGCTACTCGCTCCGCGGTGGAGGTCTGCAAGGCTCCCGCAAGAAACTCCCTTGGGAAGATCCTTCGCCAGCTGTCCGCCAGGCCTCAGTTCCACAAGCCAGACAAGAGCTCCCACAATCACCCGTCCATCGTTCTGCCACTTCTGAGAAGAAGCGCTCGGATCCAGAAGCAGCTCGAAGTTCAAGCTTTGCGATAGTAGCCTGAAACGTGAGGAGTGGAGAGAGAGGCTTAAGACTTGTTAAGACCAAAGGGCCCGTGGCTGCTGAAGGGCCCCCGTCCAAACTTCTGCTTGGGTGCGTGTTAGGAACCACACAGACGCCTCCTGCCCTGAACTCGAAACATGTCGGCTTTTTCTCCTGTGATGACACCCGCTCGTTGTCCGCGCAGCTGCCAGGTGTCCGCAGCCTGGTCGTCCGCATCGTTCGCGAGGACGTCTCCGCCGACAAGCTGTCGGAGGCTCAAGCAGATGCTCAGTGGGTAGACGTTCTTGGCTGCACAGCACCGAGGGACGGAATGTCGTGTCGAGGCGAAGCTCAAAAGCTCCAATAGCATTAGGAGCGGACGATGCCATGGATTTGCAAGTCGTTGTGAAAAAGGCCATGTGTCACCTTGAGCTTGATCCACTGAACCATGTGGGGGTAGTAGTTGCTTGGAGTAAGGTCTCCTGCCGGTATCCCACCTTCTGAAACCATGGCAACGTGCCAGTCCTTGCCGTCGCGCGAGCATGACAACTCGAAGTGTACATCCGTAGGCATAAATGTCTCGAAGCTAAACCCGAGCAGATAAAAAGGTGTGTGTGGGAGGAACCAGACAATCCAGCCATCTTCCAGATTGAGGAAAGAGCCATTCCTCGCGATATGTTGCATATGTTCAATGCCGCTGTTCAACCACTCTTGGCTTAAGTCTCCCGGGATGACGTTCACCCAGTACCCCAAAAAAGGTAGTCTCTCGTGACCTTCTTCGATGTGGCGCAGGTAGAGCGCAGACAGCATATCTGTGCAATGCTGACTGCGTTTGAAGCGCTGCTCTTGCGGCTGCTTCTCACGCATGCGAAGAAGCACGGCTTTCTGGCCTCGCGTACGGGAATCGGCACAGAGCTGCTGAAAGTCCTGAGACAGCAGCAGGTTCAAGGCAAACGCGGCACAACCCCCCACTGTTCGACTCTACGTCAGCTCTGACGCCCGTCTTTCCCGTCAATGCAACAAACAAGCTGGAGAAACCGTCACCCCAGAGGAACACACCTTCACCTTCCGTTCGGAATGACTCGGCGTTGCAAGTCTGAAGCCACATGAAACTTCGAGCAAGATGACTTGTCTGATCCACTTTCTTGGCGAGATGCATCTTCCGGTATGCCTCGAAGGTCTACGTGCTTGGCAATGAGCTGCAGCACGGCATCCAAGTCTTCTGCCGATCCCCACTCCAAAAACAGCTCCAAGAGCTCCCACTCCTTCCAGAAGCTCTGACCTACCATCTGTGCTGCAAGTAAAAGCAGACACGGGCGAGATGCAACCAAAGCAGTAGCAATAGACACTAATACTAACAGACACAACAACGACAACAGCGACGCCACTCTACCAAACGCAAAGGCATGCATCATTAGTCGCCAGCCCATCAAACTCGACAGGAAGAGCATCTGAATCTGTGGTTGTCTGGCTGTCCATTTCCCGAGTGGTCTTGAAGGGCTCAGAAGCTCACAGGCTCAGAAGCCTCTCCTCGATGCACAGCAACTCGCTGCTGAGCACCTCGTCCAGCAGCTTGGAACCTGGACTTCCATTCGACTAGTCTCCATCCCTCAAAGCTGGGTCTCCTCCCTAGCCTCCCCTATACCTCCCCCAAACCCTAAATCCGAAAATCGCATCCTGAGGTGTCGCGTCAACGAGGGCCAACAGCAAACCGCTCCCGGGTCGAAGATCGATGAAACCTGAGACTCGAAACCCCCAAAGGAACCCCAAACCCCCGAAGTCCCAAGCCCTAAAGTTATGGAAAGCTCAACCCTTTCCCGACAGGAGCCCTCAAATCCTTAAAACCCAGGACCACAAGAAACCAGCAACTCCGAGACTACAAACCTAAAACCCCAAAGCCCGAAGTTCCAAGACCCCGAGCTCAAGAAGCGCCAGAAACACCACCCCAGCAAAGTCTGACCCCCTGGAGCTCCGGGACTCAGAACCCGACAACCGCAGAACCCTAAGCCTTAAGCTTGGGTCCAAATACTGCAACTCCACAAGGACCGCCAACACTACAAATGACTACAACCAGGCTAGGGGAAAGAATGGGCTGAAGGCTGGTGTAGCTGCGGAAAGGACTGCGGCTAGGGGCTGGACTGCTTACAAAACACGAGACCCCAGCGCCCACTGGAGGTTCACGTGCTGTGCAGCATCGTACAGCCACCATGGACTGCATGACTAGTCTTGGCACGGTTCGGTTCGCTGGGCCCACCTTATTATTCTCCACCCATGGAGGGATTGGCTCTGCACCTGGTGCCCACGCTGGGCGAGGAAGCAGCCAAGCGTCATCCTTCTTGAAAACTGATCGCCCACGAGGACCTTCAGACCCCTCACTGGGTACCCAGTGAGCTGGACTTCTCTTCGCCCCCCCTTGCCCACTCAAGTTCCAAGCCCTCAAGATATCTCAAGCCACAAGAAGCCAGTAGCACTGGAAGCCCTTGTCCATGGTCCTCCGAGCCACTGAGAGAAGAGCGCCGGGGCAGGGCATCCCGCGGCTCGATGAGGATCTCCTCCTTGGCCTTTCGCCGGAGCTCCTGCTGTCTTACTCGTGGGCGTGCATATATGAATGTGTATATGACTGTATATGTGTATACATGCACGGCACGACATGCATGCATAGATGCATTTCTCCATTATATGTTTATGCATGTATGCATACGCATATGAAGATGCATATGCACATGCACATATTTTTGCATGTACATATTGAATATACATGGATATACACGTATACGTGGAGCTATTGATCGCTTCGGGCTTCTGGCTCAGTTCCTCTGAGCTTTCTTGGCTCCTCGAGATGGAAGCGGTCAGCGCATTCAAAGATCTCACAGGCTGTCTCCGAAGCGAGCTTCTCCTTTACAGTGCCCATACAAGCTTTGTAGAGGGGCTGAACCTGGTATTTGTCTGCGATGACTCCGACCTCGATCAATGTCGAGAGGTTGGCTGAAAGGGTCCCAGAGTAGAGGAAGCGCAGGAAGGCATCCACCGCGCACGCGGAGAAATCCTTGATGACCACTTCAGCATTGGACCCTTCGATGAACTGCTGATGGCTCATCATGTTGGCAAAGACATCTGACCACTTTCTCAACAAGAGAGACCAGACCGGAAACTCTGTGCGTTTGGTACCATCCTCCAACACCTCCTCCACCACCACCTTGAAATCGCCTTGCCCAAAGCAGCTGTGCAGCACATCAGCCGCCAGTGCTTTGTTTGACAATGTGCACATATGACTCATCTGTCTGCAACGGGAGGAGCTCCACCTAAGAAGCCTGATCTCGAGCAGCTTCAAGAAAAGACGGCACTTTGCTCGCTCGAGGGGTGCCAGCTCGACTTGCAACATACTTTCACGAGCAGAGAATGGTACATTTTACACAGCCCGCTCCCCGGCACCTCAGCGCTGGCATGTGGAAGGACGCCGCCGTGGCATCGTTGAAGGAAGCTGGGTATCAGGCGCTGGCTAGCACCAAGAGAACCCACGTGGTAGCAAGCATGGCAACATATTCGCAACCCACTGTTTGATCGCAGCGGCTGCTGAAGCCCCTGGAGTCTTGCAAGGACGCCACCAGCCAGGCATAGAGGGGCAGAAGCTCCTGAGATGCGATTTGCTGCCTCGAGGCCTCTCGCTCGGACAGCACTGTGCGTCCTCCAAAGTGGCCTGCGGCCGTCTGCAGAAATCGCACAGGGTAGAGAACTGGCGCAGGATTTCGGACTCCAGGAGGAAGACCTCCGCAGAAGCTAGCAGTTCAGCCTTCTCCAGATGAAGAACCGCAATGCACTTTTTGTCTGCTCCCTGGGCCATGTCTTCTCACGTAGCGCAGCGGCTGACGCGGAGCGGCACAGGCTCTTTGGCAGCGTTGGGGACCTGGGAGGCTATGGAAGGAGCCCGGAGGAGGAGAAAGAAGAAACACGACCGCTTTTTGGACACAGAGAGTTTCTTAATCAGCTTTCCATGGCGTAGGCGGCGTAGGCAGAGGTCCGCGCAGTGCGGCCTTCGGCCGCTTGGTCACGAGGGCGCCCTCGGAGGCGCTCCGTGCAAGGCGCCCTGCTCGAGGTAGGCCTTAAAGAAGAAGGCGCGCTCGAATGCTTGAGGAAAGTTTTTTGATTCCCGTTTCTTTCAAGCCTCGATTATGGGAATATCGCAAGATACTCTAAGCGCGTCACTCGTCGTCCGCCGCTTCTCTGCAAAGGCATAGGTAGCGGTAGCACCTGTCAACAGAGGCACACAGGCATACGTCGACGCTTGCAAGGGGACGAACCCCAAACCGAAAACTCTACCAAGCAATTCGACTTCCCAGGAGATGGGCTGTCACTACCCCTCAGTTGCAGTTGTAATGCCTGACTGCCTGACCGTCGACGACACCAACGCAGGCGGACCTCCGGTCCCGAAGGTGTGGGATCCCGTCACGGGCAGGGGGGAAGTCGGCCATTTCACCATCCTTACGGGCGAAGCTAGAAGAGGCGGAGTCGGCTCATGTCTCGCCAGAAATTTTGAGTCCGGGCAGCCATTGCATCACGCTCTCCTCGGTTGTGTGTGCGAAAAGATGAATTCGGAAACAGCACGCTGAGATCAAAGGGCTGTTGCCACCCGGCTTCCGTGGGATGGTAATACTTCGTGTGCAGCTCGAAAGCTTCTGGTGCTGTGCTCAGCTCCACACCAGGCCTGGCTTTGCCAACAGCCTCCGTACAGGAAATCAAAGCAAGGAGACCTTTCTCAGAGCTGAGAGTTTTTGCCTCGCCGTCGATGAACTGCAGTGAGGGGACCAGATCCAGCAGCTGGTACCGGTATGCTCGGAGATCTTCCTGGAAGCCAAAGAGCCCATGCGCCCGGCCCACGTGGCCCCCCGCCAGGATGCAAGTGTCCGAGCGGCCGCGATCTCTACGAAGGGATTCCCTGCCACGAAGATGGCCCGCAATTCGGAGCAGTTGCCGATCATGTGGAGTGCCTCGCTTCGTCTCGAGATGTCTCGAGTGCCTCTATAGATCTAGTCCTCAAACATACTTTGATGAACACTCCCTGTGACCAGACTCCTAAACTCCCGAGGGACTCCCTAGACTCCCGATCTTTCCAGGTGCGGCCCCAGGCGTGGGCCCGAGCAGGTTCTCCGAAACGTCCAGCAGCTGCAGCTTCGGCAGATCCCCCAAGCGCTCCACGCCTGCAGAGAGGCGCGCGCAAGGCCCAACTTAAACCCGGATGGCTCGGCCCAGAGCCCTTTGAGCTCCCAGCGCCGCAGCCGGTTCCGCGCCAGGCGGAGCCGTCGCAGAGCGGGCATCTGGGCGCTGAGGCGGGCCACGGAGACAAGGCCTTGGCTAAGCGACAAGCGAAGCGCGTGCTTGTGACGTAGCAACGTTGTGTACAGCATCCAATAAATAGAATATCTTGTGCGCAGTGACGATTGTCTGACGCATCCAAGATGGTTACATGGCTGAGGCCTTCGAAAGCTTCAACTCCAAGCAGGACATTGCTGTGGTCAGGCGGGCAGGCGCCTCGCAAATCCGGGAGCGTGGTGAGGTTCCGGGCAACGAGCCGGAGTTCCTCCAAAGGCTGGGGCCGGCTAGGGGGGCTTTGCAGGGCTCGGGCTTTCAATACGAGCTTCTACATCACAAGCTCTTGTTGTGTTGCTATAGTGAGGCTTTCGTGCACCAATGAAGTTATTGAGCATCGTAAGTCGCCGCTGTTTGCCGCCACGTGTCAATGTGAGCTCAGAAGGTCTTAGACCGATCGAGAGGTCTAAAGCCTTGAAACTGCGGAGCTGGAGAAGGGCAAAAGATGGTACTGGTAGAAGGATATGGTGCAGTTTACATAGCAAGGCAGGCAACGGTCCTCCGGGTGCTCTTGCTCAGTCATATCCCATGGCTGTGCAGCCACGCGGGCAGCTGAGTTGCTACGCGCTCACGCTGCCGGTCAACATGATATGGAGGCATCTTTGGGCCTTGAAGCCGCGGCAAGTGAAGTCAGGTGCATCAAAAAGGCAAGCCGAAAAAACATCTTGTTGATCTTGTTCATCCTTGTCAGTGCGTTGGCTCGAAATGCTTTTTGTGACTTTTGTGGAGTGAGGGAGCATCACTTCGATTAGAGGAGTTGCAACGACTTCAGAGGTCGAATACCGTCAGACACACAGACACAATCGGTTGCTTGGCCAGCCTGCATTTGGAGGTGGCGCGACTCATAGAGCACATGTTCCCCCGTGGCCCTGTGCTGCAGAGACATACGCCAAAGGCGTTGTAGTACCTGGCAAAGAGAGTATACCCGATATTAGCCTAGCTTCGTGGTGCCCATCCAAACTTTAACAAATTCATCCCGGCGGCAGCAAGAGCGCATCTGAATCTAAGCATGTCGGAGCACATCTGAACAAAAAACAAGCACCTCAAAACCTGGTCTCTGAACACCGTCCTCTGCTATGGCTTCCAATATGGATGGCGTCTTGAGGACATGCCTGCCATCACGGTCTGCACAGACATCTGATACAAGTTGTAAACCGCCCCTACATGGCAACGAACATCTCTATGAATCTATGCACATGAACCAATGAGACCAAGTTGCTCACAGACGGACTTGTGGAAGAGGACATAGCCCGCAGTGCGAAACACACTTCGCAGCTTTTCCCAAGTTGCTTGCCTGTGCGGCCCCAGAATATCATTGGAAGAGCGCGGTTGTGGCGGGCAGGCTTCAAACGAGCCGCAAAGGATCCGGATCTTTGAAGACGATATGCTGATCCTCGTGGTCCACGACGAGGTTCAGATACCTTTCCATGCGAATGTGGATCATCTCTGACCTACTCTCTCCCTTCGCAAGCCATTACGCAGCCGACAGTGGCCTGTTTGCTGCTGATAGAATGGCGCCGAAAGCATCCTTTCACGTTTGGAAGCACCCGGTTGCGGAGCTGGGCTGAGCTGGGGCCTCCTTTGCGACAAGCTCCAGCGCCACCTGCAAGGCACCGGTGCTCAGAGAGCAACCGAGAGACCGCGGACCCTCCCACTCCTCGGGGATGGTGAAAAACTGAACTCCAAGAGAGTCCAGGCGAGGAGTGTCCTGGAAGCTGCAGCTTCGGGGGTTTACCGGATGTGTGTCAGGATGTGAGGCGCATTGAAGCGCCAAGCCGGAGCCTTACGTCGAAGGTGCGCCTATGCCACTCCGCAACAATATTTCCGTCAACCTCCCCGTTGGGACTGATTTTGGCGGGCTGCTGCCCTTCAATACTTGTTTCGACTGAAACAATAGCACGCGACAGACACTGTGAGAGCCAAGGCTGTGTTCGGGAACCTGCAGAATGTGCTCGTACTGGCGGATGAACGTCTTTGCAAAGCTCCGCTTGAAGGATGGAGACACCTAAGAGAAAGTACGCAGCGAGAACGCGTGGTCAGAAAGGCTCTGTGGATTTTCGCCTGCACGTAGAGCAGGAAGAAGCGCTCTAACTCCTCCAGCAACCCAATTCCTTTGTCGAGCCGCTCACTCACTCCGGCAACCGGCCTCGCTGTATGAAGAATCGTCCACCGCCGCCTTCATCCAGTTCACCAAACGTTCGCCTGTCCACGCCGACATGCAGGAGTAACGACTCATGGCAGGCAACACCTTGAAGCTCTTGCACCACCAAGTAGCGGAGACCAAAAGCAACCTCCCCGACAGCGCCCCACAGTTCGCATAGGGTGTGCACATTCCCTGACGGCCTCACCCAGTCGTCGGAGAAGTGCGAACAGCGCAGAAGCCTGCAACCGATTATTCGACTACTCATGTGCCTGTAAAGAATGAGGAATCAGGAATGGTAATTGAACAGTCTAGGACGAGCTTGCCGGCATTGTTGTCAATTCACCAACGCTTGCTGCACGGCCCCGAAACTCCCCTGTGCCAGCACTCGCCAAGGAAACAAAACCGCAACAACGCTGCAACATTACGTGCGTCTCAGTGCAAGAACATCACAGAATCTCAATGTTGGCCTGCTCCTCACGTGCACGCCGGTCTGCCACGGCCTGATGATCACCACAGCTGCTTGGGTGTTGGGAACACGTTTGCGCTGCTGTCAACCAAGCATGCACATTTCACATGGCTCCCACTTACCGCACCTGCCCTGTGTGAGGCTAGCACCTCGCTACGCAGAAACCCATGCCGCGGCTTCAGTCTTTGGTCAGCCTCGATTGTCGAATTCAGCACTATCTCCTACTTCCCGCAGCTTGTACGGAAGGCACCGGGAACATGCAGGAAGCGAGGTGCAGCGAGCCTGCAACATGAGCTCTGGAATCAAGGCCTTTCCAAACAAGAGCAGAATTCCAAAACGGAAACTACATTGCCCAGTCGCAAAAAAGAAATAAGATGTGGCCAAGCGGAGTCTAGGATGGGTCCGGGATCATGCGTTTGCCGCATGGTGCTACATAGCACCAAGATAAGCCCGTTGACTTCGGATCGGCACTGTTCGCTAGCCCTCCCGCACCGAGAACCTCCGCACGCGCGCGCAGCGCAGGAGGCAAAAGCTCCAGCGACTCCGCATTGTCGAGCCTGCTCGGGCCAACCCGGCCCAGAGGGACCTAAACACTTTCAAGAACACCGCCCGTGCTGCCTCTCCGGAGTCTCGCAGTGCTCTGGGCAGAAGCCTGCAGCCATGCAGAGAGTTGTAGTCGGTTTATCTCGTCAGATTTCAATTTCCCTTCCCTTCAGGTCTTAAATGACCAAATTCCGAACTTGAAAACCCATCCAAATTCCTTACCCAAATGGTCTGGAAGTGGATTCATGCTCGACATCGACCCGAAGTCTCTTCTCAAACTCTGAGCCTGCCGGTGCCCACGACGAGGGATCGCCACCTGCACAACTGGCAAACACACTGCTTGCTCATGCCACCGCACTGTAGCTTGCACGCTGCAGTAGCCAAGCACAAGGCAGTCGCAGCTTCCGCCGACGGTCCGAATCACTGCCACCTCGTGCCCAGTGAAAATTTGTGTGCCATTAGTCGGGTCCGCTATTGTTTGCCCACCTCGTGGCCTTCATGCTGAGCCTGGCAAACACATTAGCCAAATTGCCGCAGCAGCTTGCGGGTCTAACCCTGCAACACACACCTCGGCTGGCCTTAAAGAAGCAATCGCAGCACTGAATGCAATTGCTGTCCAGCTCCTGAGGCGTGAAGTGCATGCCCCACCCACCTGTCCAGCACTGACGATTGCAAGTTGGAGTCAAGCGGCACAGTCCAGGCACCGAAATGCGACGTCCTGCCACATAAACATCTGCACATGTCTGTGGCTTCCACTGCACCGCGCCTGCTCGCCCCACTGCACCGGGCAAACGCCTGCCCGTGGTTGGGACGCCTTCAGTTCGGCCTCCCGCGCCGAGGCTTCCTCCTCCAAGGAGCATCAGGTGCCATCTGCTGAAGCACCCAATGACAAGGGAAAACCACCAGCCATGCCGCAAAACCGTTAAATTATTTTAACTTGCAATACACGTCGCAACAACGTTAGCAAACTACAAACAGCATCCTCTAGACCGTACCTCAACCACAACCCCAAAAGCCACAAGCTTGCGCTTCTCCTTGCTGCTTGCACCGAAGAGGTCACAGAGATGACTCGAGAGACACTCTGCAAAGTCGCCGCTCCACCTGAGCTTCGCTTCAGCCGCTCCCAGCAACCTCTTCGGGGCTCTCGCGACCTCCGAACCACCGCGGTGCTCGGGGCTCCGGTCGTCGATTCGGCTCTTCCCTCTCGGAGATTTTTGGAGAGGCCATCTCTAAGGTCCCAACCCTCTCGGAGCGGTCGAGTTTCTCTCTCCTTCTTTGCTTCGTGCTGGGCTTTGGTTTCGTTGAAACTAGACCAAGGCCTTCGAAATTTATGCGACTCCGCTTTTTGTCAGGGGTCGGATCCAAAGCTTGCAAATTTGCAAGACTACGACCGTCTTGGTTCCAACATTCCAGGCACGAATTCTGAAGAAGGTTGGAGACTCCAAATACCCCGAATTGCTGCGAATGGTTTGGCAGGTGGGGGGGCCGTAGAACAACACCAAACCCTAAACCCGGTGCCTTTTCAAAGGGTTGGGAGATGCACAGGATGGATGTGCAGGGAACAGCATCGGAGGCTGCGACCAGCCGTCCCTATTCCAAATTAGCGCTTCGGTTTATGATTTAAGGCTTAGGGCAATCATGAAACACTTGATCCCCAACTCTGAAACAGAACACCTACAACCTGAACCCTGGTTCCTCGGTCCTTTTACGTTACGTGTGCAAGGAAAGCCGGACGGTGCAGAAAGTTTTGTTCGGTCCTCTTTGGCCCATGCATGCCCGCGCCGCGAAAGACCTGACACCCTAAACCCCGAACCAAACAGCTTTGAGGGCTTGCGCAGAAGGATTCACGGCGTTTCGGATGCTTGCATGAAACCTTGCTACTGTGAAGATGTGGCTATGTCCTACTCCTCCAAATTGTCTCATATAAGCCACGTTGTGCCTTTACTGTTTAGGCGTTGCTTAGGCCCTGCTACTGTATGTTTCGCTCGTCTGCGAGCTGATGGATGGAGCCGAAACGTCGCGCATCCGGAGACGTGCCTGAAGTTGAAGTTTCCGCAGTGAGAGGTGAAAAGAGCGGGGTAGGAGATCATAGGTTTTCAGATGAAGGCCAGGAGAGGGAAGCTCGCCAGCATGCAGTGACATTCGGGTCTGCTTGCAGCTGTAGTGACGCAGGTCTTTTTGTCATACGCCCTTGCACACTGCTCATAAGGTACAAAGCACGCAAGGACATGGCTCAAAGTTTCGCAGTGTCCTGGGGCGCACCCATGTCAAACAATTTGGCTCAACCGCAGTCTTTGGCGGTCTCACCAGCATGTATTCACCAGCGATGATTCGCCTCAAGCGCGCACATGCCATGAGGTCAATCAAGGCGAGTCTATCCTGACCAATCATCTTGCCCACCGAGAAGGTAGTCTTGGTTCGCCAGATCCCCTATTCAATTTCAGAACTTGCACGCTCGTCGACGGCTCACCCGACGAAGCGACCTTGCCGTGGAAGTCTTGCGAGAGGTCCTCTGCAGATTGATAGGCCCTGATAGGCAAGCCACCAGCCACGTTTCAACACCCAGTTCGTCAGGATCGCGATTACGAACGTTGACACGGTTGACCCAGAAAGTGACAGCTGATTCAGTAGTGGCAAAAGCCCCTGCCTCTGTCACAGCTCAATCAAGTGCCACACAGGAAGTCTGTGGACTGAAGCAGGCCGGTCACCAAAGAAGCGCAATTGGCAGGCCTTGCTCGAAAGGAACAGGGCAGAGCGGAGATCATCTACTTTTTCCTGCGGACAAGATTCTCGATCATTGAATGGTGACCGCCACACGCCCACGCAACCGAAATTTCTGTGGAAATTTGCCCAAGTCGATCCTCGACTTCCTGCACAGGTCAAAAACTTCCAAATCGAACTTCTGCTTGAACATGAAATTTGCTAACACCAGCATCAGGCACTGCAGATTAGTGCAACAAACTCTTACAACTATGCTATGCTCTTGTCAGCCCAGCATCTTCACAGCGTCGCATGGCATCCGCGCTGCTCTCGCCTTCCCTTCTTGCCAGCATCACATGGATGGGCACGGGCAGAGGACCCAAAGAGAGTGGCCGCAAGCCCAGGTTGCGAGACCTGGCACATCACATGGTCGTTGGCTCTGCACTCGAGCACGCTTTCGATCCAGAAGCAACCTCTCTGCATGGCCCGTCAGATGGCCTGCGTGTGGTGGCACGCTGCACGCACAGCCAACTGCCACCCAGACCCTGAGTCAGCAAACACAAAACCGTGGGTGCTGTATGCTCGAGTGCAGCTTCCAAGGCTGAGGGGCCTCCTGCACATCGGTCATGTTGCCCATGCAGGCAGCATGGTATGCGTCCTCGCGCGCTACTAGTAGCTAGCAGCAGTGTCACAGGCTATCAACTGAGCACAACACTTGCAGGATATGGCAGGGTCCTGCAGCACTTGTCTTGCGGCTTCCCACGCTGCTGCAGTGCCCTGAGACACCAAGCGCAGCATCATCGCCAGCAAGTCGCTCAAAGCTTCCTCTGCACGTGGAGACCGCGCTCAACATTCAAGGACCCAAATCAGTTCAGTACTCTACTGGCCTCTGCAACGGGATGAGTCGGCAAGTGCGGTGCCAGGTGCTCTGCCGAGGGGTCCAACAGCCAAACAGCCTGTAGGTGGAGGGCAACAACACGCCCTGATGCCATGACGCCCCGGCCAGCCTTCACAGCCCTTCCGGCAGCCACGAGGCCACGCGCCAGCACCAGCGCCAGCCTCCAAAGCATAGCAGCGGCGCACAAATCAAGCCGTCACGGCTTGTCCTGCTCATACCGCTCACACCTTCACGCTGCCAAAAGAGCCTCACTACCTCTCAGTCTCTGCATCCCAAGGGGCGTTGCACCCCAGGAGTGGCCCAACAGAATCAAGTCCCTGTGCTCGCTGGTGCACCTTCGAAATGCTCTGCTGATGTGCTGACGTCAATATCTCTCCGCTTCTCGCCGGGCCTCTGCCGCAAGACTTCTGCCAAATCATCCAAGCTCTCCTCGGATCGCGCACACGGTGCGACACGCCGTGCGAAGGGGCAAAAGCCGGTGAACCCGAACACGTCCCAACCTGTCCACAAATCAGATCATAAGAATCATAAGTAATCGCAAGGTCCACGGCTCGGCATGCTGAAACTCCGCGCTGAGCAAGCCATCCGCTGCACTGACTGCCGCTGTCGCACCCTGCAGGGACACTTACCTGCCGAGGCCTCATGGCCTCAGCCCTCACCTGCAGACCGGGCCTCCAGCAGCGACTGGGCCAGGGGACGGTAGCCATCGATCCCAGCGCCTCCGTCCCCAGGGCAAACCAACACCTCGCACACCGCTTGACCATCGGACTGTGCCAAAGGCTTCCAGCGGATTGACTCACTGCCCATTAGGAGGGCCACCACTTCCTGGATGGCGGCGTGGGAAGATTCCACTCTCAGGCGCGCCGACTCCTCGAGAAGCCGAGCTATGGAAGCCCCTGGCGACAGCATCTGGCGAACGGAAACTTTGATCTGCCGATCAAGTGCCATGGAGGCCACCCTTACAGCTGAGAGAGACGTTAAGCCCAAGTTCTCCAAGGGCTGCGAAGGTGAAGTCGGCGCCCTGCCAGTGACCTCTCTGAGTATGGCTAGTAAGTCCTCTTCTTGCCCATGCGAAGCGGGGACCTTCTCCTCTCCGGTTTCCCGCTCCTTTCTGAGCTCTGCAGCTACCGAAGCAGCGAGGGTTCGGCGGTCTACTTTGCCAGAGGTCGTGCGTGACCATGCAGCGGTCTGCCAGAAAAGAATCCGCTGAGGCACCATGGAACCAGGCAAACTCCTCCCACAGATCTCCAGCAGCTCCGGCAAAAGCTTTGAGGATTTCCCCTTCTCCGCAGACACCACAGCCACAAGCATGCAGCTCTCGTGGCTCTCTGACCCTGCCGGCACAACGAGCACAGCAGAGGCTTCCACAGCAGGGTGTCGACAAAGTACGCGCTCGATCTCTGCCAGCTCCACGCGCTGGCCCCGCAGCTTCACCTGTAGGTCCTTTCGGCCACAGAACCTCGGTTGGGGTCAAGCAGCTGGATTCCAGATGCCTTATGCAGATTTCTCGGTTTTGGCATGACCGATACAGAAATCAGTAACCTCACACGCTCAGCAGAGGCCGAGCAGCCGGAGGCAGCCGCGAAGGCCGTCTTTGGAGTGCTCCCGGGCCACTAGATCTCCGGTGTGGTAGCTCTTCCCAGCACCTCGAGAAGACTCCCTGAAAGCTTGATCTGTAAGCTTCGGTGTCGCAACATATCCCTGTGCCAGGCCGGGACCTGCCAGCAAGAGCTCTCCACCCAACCCGAGCATCAACAGGTCTTGCTCGCAGGCCTCTCCTTCGGTCTTCAGATGCACGTGCCGGTGGGATGAGGCCCAGCCGATCGGCACATCTTCCCCCGCGAGTTCTTGTAAAGGGCTGGGCCCAAACAGTAAAGCATTGATGGCACACTCTGTTGGGCCGTAGCGATTGTGCAATAGCACCCGGGATGTCGGGGCGCGGCTGTAGTATTCCTTCGCAGCAGACGCCAGAGCTTCACCACCGCAGCCCAAATGTCTGAGGCTTGGAAGTGCCAAAGGCTCCGTTGTGAGGTGGACCATGGCTGACAGGACAGATGGCACGACCGTTGTGAACGTCACAGTCTTCTTTTTCATGATTCCCCAGAGTTCGGACGGATCCATCATGGGGTTCTCCTTCGTCAGCATCAAAGTTGCTCCGCTTAGCAGTGCACCAAATATCTGTGAGTAGGCCATATCGAAAGAGAAGGAGCTAGTCATCAGCACCTGATCTGACCCCTTCAGCCCCAGAGTGCGAATGTAGGGCAAGAGGTGCGAGAGCAGTGCCCGGTGAGAAAGCAAGACACCCTTCGGCTTGCCAGTCGAACCCGAAGTGAAGAGCACATAAGCCGCCGCTGACTTTGCAGAACGTGAAATGGGAGCTTGCTCCGTTTGGTCCATATCTTCAATGACCGGAACTTCGAGGAACTGAATCCGGCGGTCGCTCTGGCTCACGATCCGGAGCCCGGCCTCGGCGAGAGACCTTGTGCTAAGAAGTGCCGCTGCCTGGGCCTGGGACACCATGAAACACAGCCGCTCCAAGGGGTTCTCTGGTGCCAGAGGAAGGAATGAAGCCCCCGTCAAAAGCACGGCCAGCAGAGCAATCGGGAGTTCCTGACATCGATTTGCAAACACGGCCACGACGGTCTGATGAGTCGGGTCGTGGCCAGGAGCCTCTTTCAGAGCTGTGCTCAACGATCTTGCCAATCCACGAACCGCCCTTGCCAAAGCTTCATAGGACAAGCTGACCCCGTCCGATGAAAGAGCCCTCTGCTTCGGAGTGCGCTTGGCTTGCTGCAGAAATAGCCCCTCCACGCGCAGGTCGGGCAAAGGCAGTGCCTGGCTTGAGGCCCAGCTGTGCAAGGCTTGTCGCTCATCATGTGGAGCCAGGCCAAGCTCAGCTGTGAGCATTTTCTCCGGCGATTCGGATGCTGCCAAGCGTTGTGTCATGGCATGCAAGTGGCGATCCAGGATCTCAATGCTGGTTCTAGGCAGAACCTCCCTCATGAACTCCCATCGAACACGACAGATGCCGTTGGCCAAAGCTGATGTCTGAAGACTGACTTCGAATTTGGCTGCCGTCGTAATCCGACCGAAGTCAAAGTCTTCGACTTCCAGGCCCTTCTGACTCGCAAGCTCCCGCAATGAGTCCTCTGCAAACTGACCTCGCCACGACTCGGCAGGACAGTGCAGGGACTCGAACTCCGCACGAATGCTACACTGCGGCTACATTTCGTGAAATCTTGCCTCAGCCGTTCTACATCAGCCAACTGTTCTCTTGAGGCCCGTCACATTGGGTGAAAGGCAAGCGGCACATTCCACCAAACTCTTAGCCCCAGCGGCCTGGAATCACGTGCTGGAAGAAGGCTTGGACGATGGGATTCCGCTCGCTCTGGACATCCATCTCCTGCGGCACGCTGGCAAAGCTGTTGCAGCAGGCTCTACGGCCTCTGCAGATATGCGCCTCTCCCCGGGTCTTTCGCAGCTCCGCAACGAGTCTTTGAAAGGGAAGGGCAGCTGCATCAAGGGCCGTGAGCAGGCGGCCCTGAGTCCTCCACAAACTCAACGCGAAAGTCTCTCAGCGAACGGCTGCCGGCTCCTCTGCACGAGCTGGCCGAAGCTGTAGCCTCGATCGGCCCCGAATGCCTTGCGGAAAACTTCCCAAGGAACGGCCCAAGCAGTGCGCTCTGCTCTTCGGGCGCCTCTCCAAAGAGCTGCAAGCGAATCGGCAGCGTGTTCCTTGCAGGGCAGCCTCTCCTCTCGCGTTTCGCGTTTCTTTTGGCATGTGGTGCCTCTTTGTGCCAAGGGACACGAAACAGCCCAGGATCTTCTGCAGCTCAGGAGTCTTGCTCCGACCAGCCTCCGGGATCCCGACCAGCAGCTCCTCCTTGACGGCGTCTCACGAGACTTATAAGGGAGCTTTCCAAAACCCTGGAGGTCTGGATCCGAGTCCTGGCCACAGCGGCATCCGAGAGCAAGTCCAAACAGCGAGAGCCTAACTGCTCGGCGCACCAACTCGACCAAGTGATATCCCAGAGTTGCTCGTTCTGCAAAGTCTGCAACTTTATTGAAACTTTATTGCCGCACTCTAAATGTCTATCAAAGCGGCAGCAGGGCCATCTCTGAGGCTCCCAGTTGCGCCGCGGCCTTGCGCAGGGCGGCGAGGCTCTCTTCCGGCCACTCCGAGACCTCAGAGAGAAAGAGAGCGGGAGAGAGGGGGAAGAGCTGAAGAGAGCTGGCGAAGCGCCCTCAGAAGCCGAGTGCGCCAAGCGCTGGGGCCAAGGCCAGCTCGCCAGCTCCGGTGCCTTCGTTCCGAGGCGGGGCATCGAAGGGCAGGCGAAGGCTGAGGCCAACACCTGGAGCACGAGAGCCATGCAGGAGCCAGTCTCTCTGTGTCCCTCTATGTCTCTCCATGTGCTTCTATGTGCTTCTACGCGTCCTGCGAGCTCCGAGGCCCAAATGTCGAGGCAGCGCTGCTCCTCGCCGGCAGCCAAGAAAGCCCGCTGCCAGACAGCATAGTCTGAGTACTGCCTGCACAGGATGGCACTGGCAAGCGGCGTTCCGTGAAAGCAACGTGGCTCGACATCTTTGGCGAGGTGCAGCGATGGTGCAGGGCAGGGCGTGTCGGAGGTGAGAAGCTCGAGCAACTCCTTCTCAAGCAAAGCCTGCGCAACTGCAGGGAGCTTGCGCCGACTATCTGACCACACCAACAGATTCTGAGATCCCGGTAGTCTGGCCTGAGACAGGGCATCGAAGGCAGCGTGATGCACATTGAAATACCTTGTGTTGCGACCATCCCGTCCGAAAACATGCATGGGCTGGGGCCGGGGATAGGCACTGCACGGTTGAGCTTCGACACAGTAAGAAGCTGGACTTGCCTTTCTCTGGCATGCAGAAGACACGGACTCGGAGCAGGCAGTGATCAAGCTGAAAACCTGAAGGCAGCAGCTCATTTCTCAAAAAGCATACCTGAAGTCTTGCAGAAGAGGCATCGTCCAAGCTCACATTTGGAACTACCAGGCCATGGGCAAGGAAGCCTATCCGAGCAAGATGCCAAACCTTAGTCCCTCGACTTTGGAACGGGTGCCTTGGCTGGCATCAAGACGCATGAGCTCTGCAGCTCTCTCGGCGGCTTCTGCCCAGATGTCGCTGGAAGGCGGATGAAACCAAAGCCAGCTGCACCTAAGCCATGCACGGCTCAGGAGCACCCCGGCCTTGCAAATGGCAAGACCCATAAACCAATCAATGCCTAATCCAGGAATCAACGATGAAGTATATAAAAAAAGGCGCATGCTGAAACTACTTCGGCTTCCTGATCTGAGTTCCGTTGCCCATCGTCCAAGGCGCAAGAAAGCTGGAGCTGACAACGGATCCGGCAAGCGAACAGACCCCATGTCGTTGATCTTCTGAACCAGCGATGTCGTACTCTGTCCGGCGCCTCTGTCATAAAGTTGTGGATTTGGATTCTTCGGAAATGTATGAGACCTACCAGTACGAGCCTTGAATGAGCGCTGTGCGCAGCACGCAGTGATTTCGGACCAGGGCCTCCCCAAAACGGCTCTCTCAGTCCTCCTGGCAGAAGCAGTCTGCGGCCTCCGGCCTCCAACCCCGCAAGCAGGCCAGCGAGGGTGAGAGAGGTGCGCTGGGCTGAAAGGCGGAAGGCAAAAGGAACGTTGTAGGCAGCACCTCAGACAAGCTGCGGCGAACTTTAGTAAAAAAAGGCTCCGCCTGTGCAGCTCAGGTGCTCCCAGGGAAGAGTTGGTCGACTAACCACAGCCTCTCCTTCGAGGTGGCAAAGTGCACGACCTACGTACAAGCCGTTGCCTGGAATCAAAAAGGGTTAAAACAAGAGTCGACGAGACTTGAGAGCCATATGATCACTAACATTCCTGTTGAGTGCATGCCGAGCTTTCGCAGGTCCATCATCAACAAAAAGTAGTTCGCATCACCCTAGCATTGCAGCAGGACACCTTCTGAAGCATGGACTCGTGAAGAATCGACTTTGCACCACCATAAAGTATTTTCACACTTCAAGGCTCTGTCTGCTAAGGCTGAAGCATGGGATTTGTCGAACTCGGGATGCGGTATGGGTCCATGGTGCCCGGGCGGTATAGGAATCAGGATTCACAATTTGAATACTAGGGAGTAATCGGGAGTAAGCTTTCAGCTTCAGGCCAACAGAAGCGTTGAAGGCAGCACGAGCTGCGTTGTCGAATTTTCCACTGACGACCCTAACGATCACAACAACGAAGTGTGCAACACGCTTCGATGCCCTCACAAGCACAGGCTGAGTAACAAACCCTTTTCCGCGCCTTGGCTTGGACTCGCACAGTGCAGTGCAGCACCCTTCGGTGACGACTGCAAATCGAGACTTTAAAAGACTTTGCCTACGACTCCTATACGATGACTGTTTGACAGACGATGTCTACAGCGGCTTACACCTACACGTCAGCATCATCCTGAACTGAGCTGTCACCACGATGAAGGCATGATAGCACAAAGATCAGCAGGTGGCCGAAAACAGGAACGCAAATTGAGTTTCCAGCTAAGCGCTTCACCTGAGCACTCGACAAAGCGTTCGGTCCACTCAATACATTCTGCAAAGGGTTCTCAAAGCCAACTTCGTCAGCTACATGAGCATAGGCAGGGATGCCCATGACAAGCAAATGTTCCTTTGCCATCATCTCTCGCTCCGTCTGCGATCCGAAGCACCACACCGTGCTCGACCGCAAGAGTGCTGGAACCGTTTCTGACATGTGGCCAAAAGACTCTGCATTCTGCCCAAGCATGCACAAACCCACTTGATACCCAAGCTTTTGCTTTTGAGCTTTGTAGGCATCGTGGCGGATCAGCATCGCAGGCGGCAGCAACTGGGAAGGTGCCAACATGTCGACTGCAGAGGCTTGGAATCCGCGTTCTAGTGCTCTGTCGGCAAGATGTTGCCGCACCTCTGCATCCGGCGCTTGCAAATACACATCTCCACAAAGCCTTCTGATCTTGAAGAGCTCACCGACACGGGCCAAAGGTTTATCTATGTATCCCCACTGCCTCAGGACTCCCACGCAAAACTTGCGCTGACGTGTGCACGGCAAACCGAAATCGTCTGGGCCAAGGATGATGGATTGAAAGGCGTACAAATCAGAAAGATGAGCTGTTGCAGCCGCCTCCTCATCGAACTGAGAGGTGCACTCAATGAACAACAGATGCTCTTGCATCTGCCGCCGTTCTTGCACCCACAGGACATTGGCTTGAATTCCTGATCCAAGCAGCCCGCTCTTGCTTCCCATACACGACCAATCCAAACCTGAGTCTGAGAGGCACGGGGGCTCTCGAAAACGACAGAGAGCTGTGACATGACGGCTGACAACAATGACAACAACACGCCTAGAACAGGACTGGGCCTCCGACATGAGATTCCTGCTACTGCTATGGTGAGCATCCCCCTGTCCACGTACTTCTTCGAAAGCGGGATTGGGCACTCAGCCTTGTGAACCAAACAGAAGCTTGAGGCTTCCTCAAAGTTGACATCGCGCAGGCAATCCATCAGTTCCTGGATGAGCTGACGGCCTAGTGCACTCGCAATCTCGCGTTGGTCTTTCGTGGGCTTCTGGGAGCCCGTTTGTCGCATCTGGGCTGCGGCTTTCTCAGATGCCGCCGAGCAAGCAGCATCCATTGCAGCCCTAAGTGCTCAACAGACGTTCATCTCAATGCTGAGTTGCACTCATGACATCGCAGTTGCAAGCATGGCATGGACACATAATGAGATGCTGCCCGGTTTCCTGCAAGGCTTCGGTACCCGGTCCAACATGTCGCAGAAGATGTGCTCATAATTGAGTGGCTCCGGCAGCGACAGCAAGGCTCGCTGAGCTAACGAAGCATAGTCGCACGCGTGCAATGGCAGCACACACCGGGTGTCGCTTCGCAGATAGCCTGCCTTCTTGAGGTAGTGCTCCACGAAAGAGAACGCAATCCCTGGGGCATCGTAGCCAGAATAATGTGTCACCAAGACCTTGGCACGCGGATGCTGGTAACGCATGACAAATTAGTGACAAATGACAACTGGCTATGTGCTCACCGCCACTGACCTGTTTGCAAGTCTGCCCTCTTCGCGGCTTCACTGAACGATTCCGCTGATCTGACTCGTGACTCAGCAACATGTTCGACTCGGCTCAGCAGATTCTTCACTGCTGCGCCCTGCCGTGCAGGATCCACTCACGCAAGGTGCATGATCAAGAACCCATGCACTACAACTCAGTAGTTGGCACTGGCTGTACTGGTACCACAAGCAAGGAACATCGACAGCACAAAAGGGCTCTGACAGCTCCAGCGGCGACGATGCAAGATAGTTATCCGACTACGAACAAGTAAGGCCTGGCTGTAGTCTTGGTGTGATTATAAATAAGGTAGTACGGTAGTGCAAAACAGTATCTAACCCTAACCCTCCAGCTAACACTGTACTACTTCTGCTACCCTGCTCACAACCACTCACACTCACCACTGCCTCTAGCTGTCTGGCCGAGTTAGTCACTGTACAGAGCGACGGCGCCATCGAAAAATCCCGCTGCTCACATTAACAAGCTCAGACTTTCGCCTGCGGCTGGGCCTTTGCCTTTGCTGCGGTCGTAGTAGGAGGCGCACCCTTCTGCTTCTTCATGGCTTCAATAAGCTTTTGCCCATTCGTTGCCCCGGCAGGACCATCCGACGCGGACAACTTCAATCGCTTTGCCTGCAGACCATCTGAATCTGCTCCAGATGCCTGCAATGCCTGGGGCGGTGGAGTCGCCTCTGGCACCGTCACCTTCGGCTCATCTGATCCAGGAGAAGCCGTCGACGGCGAAGAAGCCGGCGCCGGTGTCGACTCTTCCGCTCTGCTCGCATCAGAAGCCTGTCGCTTTGCACGCCGAGCTTCGGCACCCCGTGCCCACCTCTCGCTTTTCTCCTTGGCCTTCTCGTCCTCGTCAGCCTCGCCCTCCAGCTGCTTCAACGCGGCCTCAGCCGCTTCGGCAGCGGACTCCTTCGCAAGTTCTGCCGCTGGGGCCGGTGGGTTCTCTTCACCAGGTAGCTGTACAGCTGCTGCACCCTGCTTCTGCTGGCCATTTTTACCAACGCCACCGCTTTCCTCGTCCTGAACCTCCTTCTTCGTCATGTTGCTAGTGGCAAGTGTGCTCAAGGAATCCTTGCACTCGAGAATCTGGACCATTCTGTTCATCAGCGACGCATCCCGACCTTGGGCAGTGAAGACTTTTGCGATGGCAGCCATGTCCTTGATCTGCAAGTCTTGCTCTGCTGCCACCATCAGAGCAACACGAAAGCCCGTGACCTGCTCCGCGCTCACTGTTGCATCCAACAGCACAAAACCGGCAGGCATGAAGGTGACGGATCTGGGTCTAGACTCCGCGACGCAGCAAATGGAGAGCAGCTGATCAGACTCATCCTCCGTTGCACTCGGCAAAATCTTGGCAAGAGCGTCCAAGGTGACTTGCCCGGCACTGTTAATGCCAAGCTCCTGCATCTTGCCAACAACACCGCCGACGCCGCCGTCCGTGGCCGTTGCACCCACACCGGCATCCAGCATCTGGCCCAACTTGGTTTGAAGTGCAGTGAAAGCTGCAGCTGCAAAGCGGCGTGTACCGTGTACTTGGAACCTCAAAGTGGAGGCCTGCTTGAACTCTGTTCCGCAGTAACGCATGCTCTCGGAAAACGCATAGGCTCCAACAGTTGTGAGCAGTGCACACATCTCCTTGTCACTGATCGCCGGCTGCTCGGGATCGATGGTCTGGCCCGGAGCATAGTTGTGCAAGGCATCCATAAGGTTTTGCATCTCCGGTAGGCTCATAGTTCCTGCGTTGTGTGACACGTGCAGCTCTAACGAAACACAACAAAGCAAGGTCTTCAGGCACCACTCACTGTCACTGCCGTCACCCACCCTCACTAACTGATCGTCCCAGAACTGTGTGGCTTGATGACACGGCAATCTGGGATCAAGCAGCTCAAACTTGTCACTCACGGCGAGATTCTAGACGCTGTGTAATGTGTGTGTGTGTGCATGGTCACGCGCCCAAACCTGCAAAAGTAAAAAGAGACTATATAGGAATAGGGGATACGTGTTTGCATTTCTGAGTGTGTGCGTGCGCGCATGTGTGTGTGTGTGTATGACAAGCCCCCGCCACTTGCCCTTCGAGACACTGTTGGACCACAATGCTCTGGACGTCTTGGGCTCAAAAACACGACCGAGACGAACGCTGGCACGAACCCGTCCGAGCCCATACGGAGGAGGGGGGATTGGGGCGCTCACCAACCACATCAGCGAAGGTAACCTAAAATGCCGAAACCCTACACGCGCACACTGTCACATGGAGGAATTGTCTTGAGACTTCTTGAAACTTGAAACCTGAAGCCTGAAACCTGAAACCAGTCGCCTCGTCCAGAACCTGCTCGCTGCGGCGAGTTCTGGAAGGTGCGCAGGAAGAAATTGAAGCGGGACGATGCCATCTCATCCTTCTTCACGAAGTCATCCAGGTCCGTGCAGCCTTCCACGACGTAAGGCTTCGCCGTGTTCAGGCCATCCCTCGCAAAGGCCCTGACGTGATGTAGGCAGCTGCACTTGCGTTCAACTTGGAGACGGCTTCATCGCACGATGCATAGCGGACGAACTTGAAGATTGCGGGCAGTGCCTCTGCTGCGGGCTCTGGCTGTGCCCCTTTTGGCTTGACAGAGGTAGCAGCCTCAGCTTTTGCCTTGGCTTTTGCCTTGGCAGCAGCCTGCGCGACTTCCTTTCGCACTTTGGCATCGCACGTCTTCTGCCTCGCCTTGCGCGCAGAGGTCAAATCCTTAACGGCTCTGTTCGCACATGTGAACAAGTTCTTGACAAGGGTCTTGTTCTCCCCGAACCTCTTCAAGATCTGCTTCATCGCTTCCTGGCTGTCAGCCTCGTCAGTCTGGGTCTTGGCCTGCTGGAACAACTGCACCCGGCAAACGATATGCTCAAACTCTGGGCAGGGGAGAAGTCCATCCGCCTTAGCTTGATCTTGGTAGGCCTTGAACTCAGCCACGGCAGCCGCGGCCTCGTCGTTGGAAGACTCGACATCCATCATAGCCCAAGCCTCCACTGCAGATTTCCTTGTTCTAATCATGTCGACGTACATCTTGTACTGGTCCTCCTCCTCGGGGCCGACCTTCGTCAAGGCGTCGTTGAGAGTCGAAATGCACTCTCTGCTCTCAGTGATCAAATTCTCTTCTTCTCGGACCAGCTTGTCGTGCTGGGTCACACGCAAGGCTTGCATGTCCACCCTGCGCCTCTTCTTCTTCTCCGCACCATCCTCGGCCTCGTCAGGGTTGTTGGGAACGGGCTTGTCCTGTATGGCCAATGCCGATGCCTGAGAATGAACCCCACCCTTCTGCAGATTGGACCTGTTGCCTTTCTTCAGACTAAGTTGAAGCCCGGCGCCACCTGCAGCATCAAAGACGGCTGCATTGAACCCGTCGTGGCCGCTCGCGATGAGTGCATCCAGCCCTTCGAGCTGCTCAGGTCCCTTGTTCTTCTGAGTCTTGCCTGACAAAGTGTACCCGCGGCTGCTCTTGGTGCCGGAGGAACCGACCACGTCATCAAACATGTGTACGAGCAGTCGATCGGCTCCGTTCTTGCCGTTCTTGTCACGCTGGTGCAAAGGGTCTGCGAACATCTCGTCCCACTTGTCCTTCGCCTCGACGGCATTGTAGCTGCCACCCTCAGCCGTTTGCGACCAAGCCAAATAATGGACCTCTGTCATAAACCTGCAATGAGCTTTGCTGGCGACTTTATTGTAGTTCTCCACAGTTTTGAAGAACGTGACAAAGTCAAACTGCGCACGAGGCTTGCCTTTACCCGTCGCCGGGCATTGCTTGCGAAACTCTAGGATGAGTCTCTGATATTCGGGGCCACCCTTCGCCTTGATGGACTGGAACTCTGCCTCCCTCTCAGTCCCTTTGACCTGCTTGGCCGCTGCTTCGTCGGCCCGTCTGCATTCCAAACAAACGCACAGGTTCTTCTTCGGAAAGCATTTTCTGCACAGCTTTTGGACGCAGATTTTGCACGTCAGCATGTCAGCATCTTTCGCAGGTGACTCCAACTTTGCAGCTTCATCCGTTTCCTTCGTCGGTGAAGCCGACGCCGATTCAAGCTCTTGCTTGGCCGGCGTTGGTGGCAAGGGAGGGTGAGGGACCTCCTGCTTGCAGCCATCCGCCTCCGCCGTTGGTGCGGCGGCCGGTGCCTTCATCATCTCCATCTCGGTTTCATCCTCCAAGACATAGGCCATGTCTGCACTGCGACTGCACTGGCCAGGGGTTCCCCGCAGCCGCGATCCACGACACAGTCCTAGTCCTATAGCAGAGTTGCGCAGCAGTGCCTGAAAGCCCGAGCTGCCAATGTCACTGGAGTCACGAGTCCGACTCGATTCGACTAACAATGCTCATGCACATGATGCAGTCAGTGCGATCTTCTGACACGAGCGCTTGTCACGCAGAATCTGAGCACCCGGCTATCCCTCTGGAGAACCAGTGCACGAGATTCTCACGCTCTGCAGGATTCATGCTGGAGATGGTTGTCTGTGGCCATCCGAAGCATTCTGCCAAAGAAGCCGGCCCAAAGGCTTTGAAGATGGAGCCTCGGGCGCTGCCGAACTCAGGGTCGCAGGCCGTGTTCAAGGCAGGTGGGGGCATGCAGGAGGGGTTCCCGGGGCTGGAGCCGGGTAGCGGGGGCTCTCCTTGCACTGAACTTAAGGTGACCGAGCTCGGTCACCTTAAGTTAACGGGAAAGTATACAGGACAGCAGGGTAGTTGGACCCGGCAGAACGCTGTTTTGGGGGGTCTGTAGCCGCACATAACGATAGGTTCACGGACATGTGGTTGTGAATCTATGGATTTGGGACCACCAGAACGCTGTCTTGGGGGGGGGTCTCTAGCCGCCGCACAAAACGATAGGTTCACGGGAACGCTGTTTTGGGAGGTCTCTAGCTGCACAAAAAGATAGGTTCAATCTCAGGGGCATGTGGTTGTGAACCTACGGATTTGGTATCACGCCCTTCCCACCTAAGGGCGAGCATTATAAGCATCAGGCCGGGCCGGGGAGTGGGTCAATCCATTCATGTTTCTGCCACATGTTGCCCAGACCGTGCGCCTGCGATTCCCGAAGCCTCCAGTCCGGTTTGGGGCTGATCTGAGTTTCAGTCGCATTCCCGGAAATATGGTTGCCACGACATGGTTGCATTAGGGCATGCTATGGCCTCTGCATGCACACTGCTGACTGCTGAGACTCCTGCATTCTGCCGCATAAGACAAGCTCTTCTTCCTTCGCTTGGTCGCACTCGCACATCCCACCTTGCGTTCGGCGGTCGCGAACTTGAACATCAAATCATCAAATGAAACTCAAAAGATGAGGACCAGGAAACAACGTTTCTGTGCAATGCCTGTGGGCCAGTGACAGTAGGAAGCAAACACTACATGCGACTGGACTGCATAACCACTGGAGCTTCTAATCCTATCGAACAGTAAGCCCAGCACGCCGACATCATCTTCGAGCAATGCGCTGGAACTCTGACTGCTCGAAGATCGGACACACTCCACATCCCTGAGCAGCTCAGCAGCCAGGGCCAATGTGTTTGGGATATTCAGTTTTTGCGCTGACTGTCGCTTCGCCAAGTGCCCGGCGTGCTGCCAGACGACACAGAGACGCTCGAGTCGTCGCCACTCATCATCGTTCCATAGACTATAAACTAAAAACCAATCCTTAAACCTTCCCTTTCGTGAAACCAAGCACGGGCAACTGCACCCTCTGTTAGCCTCTGTTCAGATTCGAACAACCTGTGCAATTTCTGTGCAATGCTTTCTATACGACGATGGCCTGATGGCTCATGGTCACTGCAGCAGAACGACAAGCCACAAGCACATGCTTCACTTCTGGTTTGTGACATGTGACGCAGCTCTGAGACATCTGCGAAGAGGCCGCTGAACATGTGACACAAACTCTGCCCGTTTCACACTCCACCTAACGCTAGCGGCGGCACTGGTGGCGGTGGTGATACTAATGGTGGCGATTGTGCTGCTGCTACTACTTGATAGTAGTGGCAGTAGTTTCTGTAGTAGCACTGGTAGTAGCAGTGGCAGTAGCAGCAGCTGTAGCATGAGCATTAGCACTAGCAGTAGCAGTAGTAGCGTCGTCGTCGTCATCTTCGTCGTCGTCTTGGTGGCGGGGGTGGCAGCGGTGGCCACGGTGGTGGTGCCGGTGGTGGCGGCGGTTTTTGTTGGCGGCGGTGGTGTGCTGCTGCTGGTGGCGGTGCTGAAGTAGTAGCAGTAGTAGCAGTAGTAGCAGTAGTAGCTGTAGTAGCAGTAGTAGCAGTAGTAGCAGTAGCAGTAGCAGTAGCAGTAGGAGTAGGAGTCGTAGTAGTAGTAGTAGTAGTAGTAGTTGTTGTTGTTGTTGTAGCAGCAGCAGCAGCAGCAGCAGCAGCAGCAATAGCTTTAGCAGCAGCAGAAGTGGCAGTAGCAGTGGCAGTATGACAAGGAGCAGAATATATTTTGTGTCGCGCCTCTTCCTGCAGTGTTTATGACTGCTAATGGCAACTTACCCTTTCTGTCGCCTACATCAAATAAGGTCTAGCGTTTAGAAGAGAGCCCAAAACTCAGAAAGCGTTTCTTTGCGCTAAGGGCAGTCGGAAACCTGCACCGTCGGAGCGGCAGCGGGGGCAGCGCTGACCTGCCAAGAGTCTTGAGACGTTGGCTTTCCGGTGTTCAGATTTCGGATTTTGCTTTTGTGAAGCCTCCCTGACCCAAGCTTTTCCGGTGTTTAGGGGGCAGGATTTCCGGGTTGGGGTGAGAGAATTCGGATTCGGGTTTAGATTTTCCGGCACGCGGTCATCCCTAAATCCAAAGCCCTGAACCGCAATGCCCAAATCTTGAACTCTGCACCCACGGTTCTAATCAACCAGCCACAAATTAAATCCTGTCCCTAAACCCTAAACCAGCCTAAAACCACAACCTCGGAAGGCCCTGAGCCCAAACAGACCGCTGCCTTGAGGGAAGCAATGGGCGGCCGCTGCACGGCCTGCTCCAAGCTGAAAACACCCAACCAGACTGGGGACGCGCTTCCCACGCGCCCGCCTGCACCATCCGCACCGGTACCGGCGCCTTGCAAGCGACTGATGGACGCTTCAGCTCTTACGACCTATGTCAAGGCCCAAGACCTTCGCTTGGAACTTATGTTCAGCAGGTCTTGCGTACGTATTTCAACCCATCCCCAGAAAGACACGATGGTACATACCCGAGTCTTGCGAAGCTCATGGCAGTGGTTGTTACGTCCACTCACACGACACTGGCACCGCCCACAAGTGTAGAAGATCCTGCATGACATGTGCACCAGCAACGCACCAAACTGGTCTTCACACTCGGTCTGTGTAAGGCATTGAAAATCTGCATCAGACGGTTTGTACAGAGGGGACAAAGCTGATGCACCCTAAAACCTCAACCCTAAGCTTGCCCAAAGGTTCATGAACTGCTGAAAGCACGAAGACTAGACACCGTCTCACAAAGCCTCAATCCGCAAAGCGCGTGCTAGCTGCTTTCAGTAAGCCCCCAACACTAGTCCTAAGCACACCTAATGACCTAATAGTTCTTTGTCCTGCTACTTACTGGACACTGATACTAGTACTGATTCCAGCAGTAACACTGAGTAACACTTGTAGTACTCTCGGTGGTCACCCCTAGTACATCTCCACTTGCTTCAACTGTCCATAACCGCAACTATCCCTGCCGAACATTGCGTCAATACCCGGGGTTACAAATGGAAGAAAGAAAAGAGATCAGAGATGATCAGAGATCATGTGGGCAGCCTGAAACCCCTGCCTGCCATGTCCAATGAAGCCTAGAAAGCTCAGTGGCACCTGATAAGCCAGCGCCGAAGCTTTATATTCCGCGACTGCAGACGGCGTCCCCGGTCACTCAGACCCCCAAGCTTCATACGCCTGAAGAGAGAACCCTTCTGCTACGGCTTTCATGACGTAGCCAAACGTTCTTCACGGCCAGTGTCTAACTTCTTAAAAAGCGACCCCTCTACCTGTTCAACACCGAAGGTACTAGTCAACCGCTCCCTGCGCTTCCCACGCGCCCGCCTGCACCATCCGCACCGGTACCGGCGCCTTGCAAGCGACTGATGGACGCTTCAGCTCTTACGACCTATGTCAAGGCCCAAGACCTTCGCTTGGAACTTATGTTCAGCAGGTCTTGCGTACGTATTTCAACCCATCCCTAGAAAGACACGATGGTACATACCCGAGTCTTGCGAAGCTCATGGCAGTGGTTGTTACGTCCACGCACACGACACTGGCACCGCCCACAAGTGTAGAAGATCCTGCATGACATGTGCACCAGCAACGCACCAAACTGGTCTTCACACACGGTCTGTGTAAGGCATTGAGAATCTGCATCAAACGGTTTGTTCAGAGGGGACAAAGCTGATGCACCCTAAAACCTCAACCCTAAGCTTGCGCAAAGGTTCATGAACTACTGAAAACACGAAGACTAGACACAGTCTCACAAAGCCTCAATCCGCAAAGCGCGTGCTAGTCCCCTTCAGTAAACCCCAGACACCGCCCCTAAACGCACCTCAGACTGTCTTGTACCTCGTACTACGTATACTGGCAGTGTCCGCCAATACTAGCTCCGTACGGCTTATTCATGCTCAAACTCCTACTACCAGCGCGACATACTGCCGCGTACAGCGAATAGCGTTTCGCACTGCAAACGGACACTGATTACTACCTCCTCGCTAACAGAACTGCTAGTACCTCTGATAGCACGTGCAGTAAAACTTCTAATTATATCATATTATATTATATTATATTATATTATATTATATTATATTATATTATATTATATTATATTATATTATATTATATTATATTATAGTGTTAGCTGTCAGCCCTGGTACTTCTCCATTTGTTTTAATTGCCCATACACGCTAAATCTGAATCAAGTAGAAGGGTTACTTACTGATTCCACCTCCAAGGAGGAAACAGAATGATCAGAGATCATGCGGGTGCTTTATCTACTTGGGCATCTGAGAAGACAGGCTAAGCTCCAAACGTGGGACCTAGTCAGACCTAGTCATAGTCTGTCTTCTTTTTGCGCGATTCCCCGACCTATTCAACAAGCAAAGCCCTGAAGAATTGAATGGCATGTTCACTGCGATGCTATGTGAATCTCGAAGGGTCTAGTCAACTGATCCCTGCACTTCCACCGCGCCTGCGCGCGCGGCGCTCCGGGCCTG